TTATACATACATACATATAGATATATACTGCCTGTAATATATGTGTATATGTACATATATACAGATGTATGCACATACATATATACAAATATGAATGTGTGTATAGATATAGATATAGATGTAGATGTAGATGTAGAGATAGAGATAGAGATAGAGATAGAGATAGAGATAGAGATAGAGATAGAGATAGAGATAGAGATAGAGACAGAGACAGAGACAGAGACAGAGATAGAGATAGAGATAAAGATACTGCCTCTATCTTGTTTAGCAGGCACAATTTTTAACTGAGATCCCTTAGCTGTGTTATTAAGCATCTGTTGGACAGGACAGAATGCTGTCCTGCCACTTTAAAAAACATTAAACTGGGGGCACCTAAGTGGCACAGTGGATAGAGCACTGGCCCAGAAGTCAGGAGGACCTGAGTTCAAATCCAATCTCAGCCAAACACTTGACCCTTACTAGCTTGTGACCCTGGGCAAGTCACTTAACCCCAACTGCCTTAAAAAAAAAGTTTAAAAAACATTAAACCTAGATGAGACATGGTCCCTGTCTTCACAGAGCTCACAGTGTGGATACTAGAAGGGTTTTTAACCTGTTTTGAATCATGGACCCCTCTGGCAGTCTGGTGAAAACCCTTTCTCATAATTTTTAAAAAATTCATAAAGTAAAAAACATAGGATTACAAAAGAAACCAATTATACTAAAATATATATGCATGTATATACGTGTGTGTGTATATATACACACATATATACATATATGTATGTATGTATATATACGTACATATGTATGTGTATATACACACATATACATATATGTATGTGTGTATATATATATACATACACACATATATATACATATGTATGTGTATGTATATATATATATATACATACACATACACACACATACATATATATGTATACAATTTATTATTTTTTTTAAGTAGGAAGGGTGCAACTTCCAGGCTGGGTAGGTTGCTGGGCTGGGATCCAGGGTCTGCTCCTCCCAACAGCTCAACTCTTGATCGCCAGAACTGGATCTTCCTTGGATCTATGGATCCTCTTCTCTGCGGCCAAGGGTAGCACTTCTAATAAGCTGCTTCCTCCCTCCAGTCACTGACTGTCTAATAGGTCTGCATCTTTCTGGAGAGTGTGCCTCGGCTCCCTTCTGGATTAAGTGTCTCCTGAGGAGCTGGGTTCCTGCACCTACTGGTGTTAGTCGGAAGAAGAGAGATTTTCTCCTCATGTCAAAAAGGGATGTCCAAGCACAAGTATGCCAGTCTTCTTTCTAATTCTCCCAAGGAGAAATTTTTGCATTCTATAAAGGAAGAAGGGACAGCTAGGTGGTGCAGTGGATAGAATGCCAGGCTTGAAGTCAGGAAGACCTATGTTCTTAAGTTCAAATGTGGCCTCAGACATTTACTAGCTCTGTGACCCTGGGTAAGTCACTTAACCCTGTTTGCCCCAGTTTCTTCATCTATAAAATGAGCCCCGTTTGCCCCAGTTTCTTCATCTATAAAATGAGGTGGAGAAGGAAATGGCAAACTACTTTAGTATCTTTGCCAGGAAAACCCCAAGTGGGGTCACAAAGAGAAAAGAGAGTGGTAGTGTCTTTGCACTTTGCTAACATGTTAATACCTCATCGCCTCTGTTATCTGCACACATGCACAGACACACACACACACACACACACACACACCCTGCTTTCTGTGATCACATCAAGTGGGTAGGAACAGAAAGAAGAAATCAATTTGTCTGAGACCAATTTCCCCTCCTGTATCCATAGGAATTATAAATTCTAGAAGAACCAAGATTAACTCCTCTTACTTTAAAAAACAAAACAAAACAAACTCCTCACAGTACCCACTGCCGGGCTTCATTCCACCTGCTTTTTTCATCCATCATAATTTGCTTGAGATACCTTTATTTGCCCTCAAAGCATCTAAACTGCCCTTTCCCAAAGTTCTACAACTTTGAGATGTCCCCAACCCCCCAGCTTATTTTCCACGCAAATATCCAAGTGATCAGTGTTTCTGAGGGATTCATTAGTAGCTAGTACGGGCAGTCAACATTGTAGGTATGCACCTCGTTACATGGAAATAGTGTTCTTTTCTCCGCTTGACTTCTCTTGGCCACTAACATTTAAGAATATAAATTATGAGCTTTTAGTAACCTCTGTTAGATCGATTTTTAGAAAAGGGAGAGGCTCCATTTAAACTGTTCTCCCATCCCACTTCTTGTTTCACAAGTGGAAAACACAAGTAGCAATGCTGGAAATGTTCCTGCTGACTCCTTGGGCTCTGACTCCTCAGAAGACAAGAGAGTAAAACCAAGCTTCGGAATGTGAATGATGGAGTGGGGAGGCCCCCTAATGGCCAATAGGCTCATTGCATATCACGGGAATGGGACCTTGAAACACAGGACTAGATGGGGTTCTCATGGTTCCTCTAGTTCAGTCCCCTGTTTCTGGGCACAGTTACACAAACCGTCCTAATACATTCTCTGCCCTAGTCTATTGCTCTCCACAGAAATTAGCAAGAGCACTTTAATTGCAACCCTAGCATCAAATCTTAGACACCAGAGTTAAATGTTACCTAGTCCAACCTGTTTTATTTTTAATTTAATTTAATTTAACAAAAAAGTTTTCTCTTCCTTCTACCTCATTGAAAAATAAAAGCAAAGCTCTTTCAACAAACTGTGTAACAAATATATCCTCATACAAAACAAAGCCCCATATTGTCCACGTCCAAGAAGCATGTTTCATTCTTCACTCTGAGTCCATTGTGACTCTGTGCTTCAGCATTGCTCCTTTGGGGTGAAGGTGGATTGTTGTTTTGTTGTTTTGTTTTTGTTTTTTGGCTAGGCAATGGGGTTAAGTGACTTGCCCAGGGTCACACAGCTAGTAAGCATTATGGGTCTGAGGTCAGATCTGAACTCAGGTTCTCCTGAATCCAGGGCCGATGCTCTATCCACTGTGCCACCTAGCTGCCCCTTAATTGTTGTTTTGAACAGAGTTCTTAGCTCTTTCAAAGTTCTAACCCATTTTCTAAATGAGACAAATACACAAATGGTTAATGGATTTCCCTTAAAGGGAGATTTGTACTGTCTCTATCCGTGTACTGACAGCATCTAAGATAGCACATTGCACATCTTAGGTACTTTACGTTTTTTTATTCAAATCTGAGCAAAATGTAGCATTTAAATCCCTTTACAATCTGGCCACACCTACCTTTCCACAATTACTTCACACTCTTTTCCATCCTGCATCTTACATTCCAGACAAACCAGCCTACCTGTCATTTTCTTTACACATTTCATCTCCCACCTCCATGTCTTTGCTTATAAAATCTCCCATGCCTGGGATGCCCTTCCCCCTCGCCTTTCCTCATGGTGTCTCCAGCTCTCTTCAAAGCTCAGCTCAATTACAGCCTCCCACTTGAGGCCTTTCTTGGTCCCCTTTTGTATTAGGACTCTTTTCTTAAAAAAAACTGTTCCTATGATTTCATCCGCATGGGGAGAGGTCCTAGGCTGGAATTTCCTCTATCAATGCAGATCATGCTTTCTCTGCAACGCGTGGTCTTAGACAGTTGCCTGGAGCCATGAGATGCCCAGCGGGCAGTGAAACCAAGTCTCTTCCATTTTGAGGCCAGTCTTCATCTTGAATGCTGTTCTGACTCCCTGGTACCCCTCTCCTTCCTCCCTTTCTACTTCATATATTTTTGTATTCTTTATCTGTGTATATGTGTCATATCACCAGAAGAATGTAAGTTCCTTGAATTTGGGGATTGTATCTTTTTTGAGGCAAGTATGTGCTAGGCTTGCTGTCTGAAACCCGAGTTCAAATCCTATCTTAGACATTGTGATCCTGGCCTCTGTGATCAGGCTCTGTGATCCTGGGCAAGTCATTAACTTCTCTGGGCTCCAGTTTCCTTATCTTTAAAATGAGAATAATACTTGCACCTATCTCTCAGGATTGTTATGACAGCCAAATGATATAACAAAGTACTTTGCTCTAGATACTTATCCATAACTGTGGAAATACTAGCTAGAATTTGTTTTTTCTTTGCATTCCTGGGGCCTAGCACAATGCCTTATGCACAGCAGGCATTTACTAAGTGCCTGACGAATGGAACTGAATCTTACAAAGCGGTGCCTATTGTTATATCATTCAACAAACATTTATATGTAAGGTACTCACTGGGTTGTGGGAATGGAAAATAAGGTTACTGCCTTCAAGATTAGAGTCTAATGGGAGTGGGAGCTGGGTGGGGTAGGGGGAGGACAGGGAATAAGGCTATGACATATACACATATAGTATGGTGTTCATCTAAAACCCTTCCCTAGAATGAGTGCATCTGCTCACAGCAGGGATTAACAGGAAGCCCCGAGGTCACTGTCACACACCAGAAACGAGAAGAGAATGAACTTTCACAATGTTTGCCAATGTGGGATTGGCCCTTGCCCCCTGGGCACCAAGTACAGTCCCTGGTGCCTGCCTCTTCCAAATCACATTTAATCCTAGTCCCTTGCACAATAGAAAAAGGGGAACTTGATAACCCAAACTGTCATTCTTGGCTATTTGTCCTTGTGGAGAGGAAGCTGAATCTTTTAAAAGAATCAGACAGAAAATGGTCTTCATTAAATGATTTTCCTGGAGTCAAGAAGACCTGAGCTCAAATCCAGCCCTCAGACAATTACTAGCTGTGGGACCCTGGGCAAGTCACTTAACCTATCTGTCTTAGTTTCCTCATCTGTAAAATGGGAACAGTAATAGCATCCACCTCCCAGGTTTATTGTGAGGATAAAATTAGATAATATTTAAAGTGCTTTATAAACCTTGAAGTGCTATACAAATACTTGCTATTGTTACATAATTATTGGAAAAAAAACCTCCCAGTTCATGGGTACTAACACTAATTTAAGAATCACCAAGGATGGAGAATGGGTCAGATTTTAAGAAGCCAAAAAGCAACAAAGTATTTCAAAACTCAAACCATAACATAATCTCTACATAATTTTATTCCCACATTCATATTTTCTATCATGTATAAAGCAACACTCCCTCTAGGAGCTACTGTATTAGAAAACAGTCCATTAATTATTTGAATACTTTAAATTCTTAGAACATGACAACATCTATTTAGTAGGATGGCAGAATATTGTGTAAAAATAAACTACTAGGATTTTACATACACATTGAAATAAAAATTCCATATGTACACACATATGCACAGAAAGTGCTATTAATAATCCCTGCATAAAAGTATTCCCTATTTGTTTTCAAAGTTTCATTTCAATTTCAGGAAAAACAGCTGTACAAAGTAAAAGGCCTTCAGTGGGCTCTGAGCGAAAAGGTTATCTTGGTCATATGACAAAAAAAAAAATTCTGCCAGATCTCCGAGAGAGGTTACTTCCCAACTTCCTCAGTTGGACAAAAGGCCTTTTAGCAGACTTCATGAGACTACAAAGGAGAAATAAAAATCCCCAAGTACATATACAAAAAAAGATACCACTCATCACATTTCCAGTTGCGTTCCCTTTCAAGCTTGGACTATGCAGAATTTTCAAAGGTTGGATTCTTTGGATGCATATCACTGGGTGAAAGGTTCAAAATTTCATCCAAGGCAGGTCCTTCATCTTCCGGAGAGATTTCAGATTCAAACATCTGTTGTAATAATGCATCAACTGTCCTGTACCCTGGAAGGAGGAGATGTGAGTCATTACAAAGAGAGATTTTTTAATTTTGACTGTTGCTGAGGTCAACGTGATTCAGAGGCTCCCCAATCAAATATCAATTGCTGAACTAGGCCAAATAAAAATGCTCTGAATCTACTTAAAACTAAAATAAGAGAATGAATATAAATAACAAGTAGTGACTCAAAATCCACCTTCCACACGTGGTGCATCTTGCTCCATGCAACAAAACCTTCTAATTCCAGATTGAACTCATACTTAAGAGCATGAATAGATCACACACATAAAAAAGACTTCTTTGAGGATGAAGGAATCATCAGCATCATTACTGATCACCATCACCATCACGTAGGACTTTCTTTCAGGTTTGCTCTACCAACTGTGTTTGTCATCACAATAAATGTTTATATCCTCACAATTCAATTCAACAAACATTTAAGTACCTACTATGTGCAGGGTCTCCTGGGTTCCTCTAAAGCAATATAGTTAAAATGAAAAAAAAAAAACAACCTCAGCTTCTTCCCCACACACAACCTAGTAAATTTCCCTATTTGTCTATTCTCCTTCCATTTTGCCTGTTTCTACTGATAATGCCACCCTCTTCCTAGTCACTAAGGCCTGTGAAATATCTTTGATTTTTCCTGATCACTTATGTCCCCATATCCAATCAGCTGCCAATTTGCTCAGTTTCACCTCCAGAATCTCTCTTGTATCCAACCACTCTGTATCCTCACAGCCATCACTTCTCCATAAGACAATTGTTAACAGCCTCCTGACTAGTCTCCCTAACTCCAGAATTTACCACCCCAATTCATCCTTTCCACCCACCAAAATCATCTTCCTAAGGACAGGCATGACCTTGCCACTCTGTCTCAAAAACTTTCAGTGCCTCCCTATTGCCTATAGGACAAATTTTTACATTTTAAGGGTAAGAACATAAGGAGTTTGTTTTCCTTACGCTTACTAAAGGCCCCCCACAATTTGTCTCCCACCTAACTTTCTAGCCTTACGTCACACTGAGAAGCAGTGCAATCCATACACTCTATATTCTACCCTGACTAAACACAGAATTTTCCAGTCTCATCCTTTATTCTCCCAGCCCCGTGTAGGCTCTCCATATCCCCACACTGAAAAAGAAGTGGATAAAAAACATTTTTCATATTATCATATACAGTTCATTTGTAACTGATGCAGCAAAGGGATCAAAAACTACACCCAGAACTCAACAAGCCAAGAATTCTTAATCTTTTTTCCGTCATGGACCCCTTTGGCAATCTGATGAAGCCTGTGGACTCCTTTCCAAAATAATGTTTTTAAATACATAAAATAAAATATGCAGGACTACAAAAGAAACAAATTATGTTGAAATACCTATCAAAATATACTTAAAAAACACAAGTTTATAGGCCCCTGGTCAAGAACACCTATAATAGAAGGAAATCAGGCTGAAGCATTTCTTTGCATATCTCCTTTGCCCTCATCACTTCCTATTCTTACCCTTTTCTCTGTACCCATTCTCTGTGTATGTTGTACATTTCCCCTCTGTGGAATGTGTTCTTCTTGAGGGTAGCAACTATGTCAATTTGATCTATTTATTCCCAGCCTAGTAAAATCTCTAAGGAAAGCTGATTGAATTGAAAATTGTATTTTGGAATTGCATAGGGCTTTTTCTGATCTCAAATTGGTGCCTTCCATAAGGACCTTTCTCTTTAATATCAAAATTCTTCCACGGGTGCTATATATAGACTATAAATCACAGAAACAATGATCTAGGGAGAATTGAAAATGACAACTCAGAAAGTAATAGGTATTCCTGGTGAGTATAAGTAAGCAGGCTACAGCAAGCTCCATTTACTACTTACATATAAGAAATAGTATTTTTAAAAAAGACATTAATCAAGGAAGCTTATGACTAGAAAAGATAACAACTGGCCGGTCATATAACAAGAATAAGAAATGACAGATGGACAATCCAAGTGGTTTATTCAGTAGCTTAAAGATGTTAAAGCCAAAGGAAGACCTCTGTCAAATTGGACAGATCCCCAGTGGATGGATAATTGATGGGGAAGCACAAACAAAAATCATACAGGATCAGAGATTTAGATCTGAAGGAGCCTTAGACGTCACCTGAGCCAATCCCCTCATTTTACACCTGAGGAACATAGCTCTTTCCTCATCAAGCCTCCTAGTTCTCAGTGAAGTTAGTACTTACTTTTTGAAGCAATTCGGAAGAACAATCCTTTTGAGCTTTGCTTTTGCATTTCTTCTCTGCCACTAAGGTCATTTTCATTTGTTTCCATGTTGTCTATCAGTCGCCCATCAGGGATATTTTCCCTGTTAGACAGAAGCAAAAATAATGTGAAACATCAGGCATTTATATCAACAGCCTATCTGGCCATCTATAGACTCATTCTATTAAAGTCCAATTCATAATATCATTTATTAAAGTCCAATTATTTATATGCATCTATCCACATATCCATCCATCCAAGTATTTATTGCATACTTCCTAAGTGCATGGCACTGTGAGAGGTACCCTGGGGGAAATACAAATGTTAGACATAGGTAGGTTACTATATTAGAAGTACCTTCTACCTTCAGAATTCAGTCAGAGAAACTTAACTAAACAGGTTACTCACTCTTGAATTCCCATACCCAGCTCTTGAATTTTCTTCTCAATAGTAGTTTCTATTTCACTTTTTTCTAATGAATATTCCACAAAGAAGGCCTCCAAAATGAATGCTACAAAAATACTGTGATGGAGAGAAAAATAAAAGGTATTACACGGATTATTATCAGTTGTGGTTTCACAAAAAGATGTCAAGACATAAGAAGGTATTGGAGCCTACATCAATCAGGCTGTTGCTAAAAGAAGGCTCAGGAGGGTGCAAATGTTCCATCTGGGCTTGGGTGGTTTTTTTTTGGACCAGTTACTCCTCTCTATCCAGTTCACAACTTGAGCATTTAATTCACAAAGAAAATGGGATCTGGTTTAAAGAGAAGACAGCTCCCAGGTAGAGGTTTTCACTCTCTGAAAATATTGTAGAGGAATGGCTACAATTAAATTACCTTTAAAGACCTTTCTAACTCATTCTGGAATCTTAGCCCTCATTTGAAATTATTTATAACTAGGTCTTTAGCAAAATTATAACAATGCTTTTTACAATTTTTACGGAAAAGGACAGAGTGTACAAGTGATCAAAACTTTTTTGTTGACTTGCCTCCATCTTTCTTACCACTTCTATAACTACATATTGGTAGGGATTATTCATTTCTTCTATGACTTCCACAAATATACTCATGTTTCCCTCAACTTCAAAAAACCCTCACTTGATCCTCCATTCTCACTGGCTGTGTGCTATCTCTTTCTTCCCTTTTGTGATTAAGATTTTTTAGAAGGCTGTCTACAACAAGTACTTCCACTTCCTTTCCTTGCAATCTCTTCTTAACTCTCTACAATCCACCTTCCTACCTCCTCATTCAACCTAAATGATTCTCTCCAAAGTTGCCAATGATGTCTGAATGGCCAAATCTAATAGTTTTTTCTCAGTCCTCATTCCATTCAGCCTATAGAAGACAACAAAGGGGCTAAACTTGGGTCGTCTACAGTGTTTCTTTTCCTCCTAATGTCACTTCCAGGTATTCTTCTCTTATTGACAAATTTACCAAGAGAGTCTTAGGAACACATTCCATTCTACTCATTCAAACACTGAACACTTACTATGTATATGGCATGTGCCATTCATTATGGAAGATATAAAGATGGGTAAGACAGTTTCTATCATCAAGGAACATTCAGTCTAATAGGAAAGGATAAGTTATATCCAGAAAGAACTATAATGCAAAGATAGGATGTGGTAAGTGCCATTAGAGAGGCAAAGTGGGATGGGGCTTAGAGATAGGAAGAGATCTAAACCCTTTTTCCAAGCACAGGTAGGAGAGAACTCATGAACTTACTTAACAATGAGGATGACGACCACAATATGGAAGGCAATGAAGAATAGCTTTGTAGCCTGATGAGTTACAAGGGCAAAACCACCAGCAATAAGTATGAAGTTAAGGTAGAAAGAAAACAAAAGATACCTGAAAAGATTAGTTTTCTGATCTCTGAAAAAAGGTGAGTGGGTTGGACTGGATGATCTCTAAGGTCTATGAATCAATCTATGAATCCATAATCAAGGAAATTCAATTTTAATGTATGGAGACACTAGAAGTCTCCCTGCTTTAATTAAATTCCATTCTCAGGTTTTATTGGTGCATTAGAAAGAGCATGAGATTTAGCATCAGAGGACCAGCTCATGTCTCCCGTTAGTATCTGTGTGATCAGGAACCTCGATGTAGCAAGGCAATCCTTTTATATCTCCCCAACTGAATCATTATTCCACTCACCCCAGGGGCTTTTCCCAACCTTTTCATCCTTCCTCAAATTTCCCACAGTTCCCTGTCTCCTCCACTCTCTCAGTTGAGAAGTTTGCCTCAGATTTCCCTGAAAAAAATTGAGGTCATTCACTGAGAGCTCCCTCTTCTCTCTTCCTCCTCACCTCACATTCCTCAAATGCCTTCTGCCACTATCTACTCCTTCCTTTGCCTTGTGAGAAGAGGGGGCCTTGCTAAGGCAAACCCCGATTCTCATTCACAAGGGATCCCATTCAATCCCATATTCTCCCACAGATTGCCCCCTCTACTATCTCTACTCTCTCATTAACCTTCAATCTCTCCCTGTCTACTGGCTGCTTCCCTATTGACTACAAAGATACCCATGTCTCCCCAGACTTCAGAACACTTTCACTTGATTCAACCTAAATGACTCTCTCCAAAGTTCCCAGTGATCTGGCAGATGCCAAATCTAATGGACTGTTCTCAGGGCTCATCCTTCTTGACCTCTCTGCAGCTTGTGACACTGTTGATCACCCTCTTCTCCTTAATACCCTCTCTTTGGGGTGAGGAACCTGTGGCCCTCTAGGTCCTTGGGTCTAGTCCCTTTGACTGAATCCAAACTTCACCGAACAAATCTCCTTAATAAAAGGATTTGTTCTATAAAACTTAGACTTAGTGAAAAGGCCACACCCAAGGACCTGGAAGGCCACATGTGGCCTCGAGGCAGCAGGTTCCCACCCCTGCTCTAGGTTTTCTTGACATGATTCACCCCCTGGTTCTCCACCTACATATCCAATCACTCCTTCTCAGTCTCTTTTGCTGGATCTTTATCCAGGTTGTTCCTACTAATAGAGGCTTTCTCACGGGGCTCTTACCTGGGTTCTCTTCTCTTCTTCCTCTATACTATTTCACTGGGTGATCTCATCATCTCCCATGGATTCAATTGCACTCTCTATGCAGACGACTCTCAGATCGACTTTTCCAGGCCTAACTTCTTTCTTGACCTCCCTTCTCATGTCTGCATTTGCCTACTGACATCTTGAATCGGATGTCCCATAGGCATCTTAAACTTCACACGTCTAAAATTGAACTCATTAACTTCCCTTCCCTCACCCCACTCCCATAACCAAACCCTCCTCCCTAACTTCCCTGTTACTACCACCCTCTCCCCAGTCACCCAGGCTCACTGCCTAGGCATCATTCTTGACTCCTGACTCTCTCACCACACCTTGCCCCAACCACATCCAACCAGCTACCAGTCCTGTCATTTCTGTCTTTGTACAACTTTCTTATATGTCCCCTTCTCTCTCTGACACTACTACCACCAACACTGCAACCACTCTAGTGAAAGCCCTCATTGCCTCACTCTCAGACTTAAGCAATAGTCTGCTAATTAGTCTGCCTGCCTCAAGTCAGCCCCTACTCCATCCTCCATTCAGCTGTCAAACTGATCTTCCTAAAGCTCAGGTCTGACCATGTCACCTTTCCATTCAGTAAACTCAATTCAATAAATTCAGGTAACTCCTTATTACCTCCAGGAGCAAATATAAAATTCTCTACTTGGCCATTAAAGCCTTCCACTACCTGCCCCACCACTACCTTTCCAGTCTTTTCACCCCTTGCTCCCCTTCACATACACTGTCATGCCACTGGCCTCCTTCCTGTTTCTCATACATGACATTCCATCTCTGGCCTTTGAGCATTTTTGCTGGCTGTCCCTCATGCCTGGAATTCTTTCCCTCTTTATCTCCTCCTCCTCGCTCCCTCAGCTAAAATCCCAACTTCCACAGGAAGCTAGTCCCTTCTAATTCTAGTACTTTCCACTTTACTGTATACATATTCTGTTTATATGTCGTTGTTTCTATGTTGTTTCCCCCAGTAGTCTGTGAGCTCCTTGAGAGCAGGGACTGGTTTTTTTTTTTTTTGCCTTTCTTTGTATCCCTAGTTCTAAGCACAGTGTCTGACATGGGTCTCAGTTTTCTTGTAAAATGAGAGAAGTGAAGTAATTGATTTCTAAGGTCTCTTCTAGGTCTAAGTTTGTAATTCTATGGTCTTATATACTTCAAAGACTACTATGACTTCATTCAATATAGGGCTTTTCTATATGTCACAATAAATCAAATACTTGGTCTTCCTATTAGCCTCAGGTATGAATCTAAGCTAAAAATTTAGAAAATAATTCTGCCAATGGACAGACTAGCAGTCTCTTGATCTAACCCTCAAGTTTATACCTTCTGATAGTTCCCTCCCCTAATTTCAGGGAAAGGATATCATGCCACTGATTTACCACAGTGAGCTCCATCAGTACGATGAACGAAGAGGCAAGATCATTGAAATTATTCTTACAGTATCTGCTTCGGGCAAATGTTGACTCTTTCAAGGCTGGGTTCCCACAGTCCAGAGCATGAGGATCGGTGGAACTCTCAGAGAAGAACTGGACTTTGTCTTGAAACAATTCCATCCCGATGATAGCAAACATATAGTACACCACCTGAAAAGTGAATCACTTGAGTCATTCATATCCAAGAGGATGGGGGACATTGGAAGAATGATGTTGTAAGAAAGCCCAGCTAGGTAATTAGACAGCCTATCTTACAGTAAACCAAAGGGAACACGTGGGAAATTGGTGGTAGCGGCTTCAACTTGAACTTATTTTTAAAAAGAAAAGCCCCAAAACCATTTAGCCATTTGGTGGCTAATAATGGCATCATAATGATGATGCTAATAACAATAATGATGACTATAACAACATAACCTGTCCCCTCCTACCTTTCTAGTCTTCTAACACCTTACTCCCCAACACATACTCTTCAATCCAGTGCCATGGCCTCCTTGCCATTCCATCAACAAGACATTCTATCTTTTGGCTCTGGGCATTTTCTCTGCCTCTTCCTTATGCCTGGATTGCCTTCCTTCTCCACTCTACCTATCGACTTCCATAGCTTCCTTTAAAGCCCAACTAAAATCCCATCTTCAACTGGAAGCCTTCCCCAACCCCTCTTAATTCTAGTGCCTTCTCTCTGCTAATTATTTCCTATTTCAATCATCCTTTGAGGTGATAAGGTTATTAGTACCCCCATTTTATAGATGAGGAAACTGAGGCTAAGTGACCTGCCAAGGGTCACTTAGCTAGTAAGCGTCTGAGGCAGGACTCAAACACAAGTATTTCTGATTCCAAATTCATCTATCCATTACACTGTGATACTGCTAAGTAGTCAATCGATACAGAAATTCAGTCTAAGATTTAATCTTCTGTAAAATTAGGTTCTATAAACTATTCAATTGTAATCATTTTAAGTAACATTGCCTTTCTTTTCTTTATCTAAAAGTTCTCCAAAAGTCTCTCAGAAGGATCACTCTCAGGAACAGACATGTATGTGACGTTTACTTTCTGATTAAAAGTTAACAAGCACACTTACCAAAACAAGTCCACCAAATGTCAGCATCGTGGGGATGATATTAATTAAGGTTGTCATTATAACCCGGAATCTAAGGTCAAACAAAAGTTTCAAAGCTATAGTAAAGGAGCAGATGTACAGGAAATACAGTACACTGATTAGCCTGACCCTTCAAATTAAAATTATTGTTAAAAAACTGTCCTGTGACTCTTTCTTCTTTTAATGTCAAAAAAGTAGACATAGATGTCTGTCTCATAGTTTTCTCCCCATCCTCATAGAGTCTCCCTTAAAGTCTCTCAGTCTATAAAAGGAAGGTAATGACAGCAGACTTAACTGGAAGTGTGTGGGCATCTAGGCTACAGTTAACAGCATCCAAGAAAGCTACTGGACAAGCGCCCTAAGGGTGGGGCCTAATAGTTTTTCTTGCTGGGTTGGAAAGCTTCAATATTTGCAACAAAAAAAAATGTGGTAGGGAAGGAGGTCAGTGTAGCAAGGAGTATCCAAGTATATAAAGAGAAAGCAAGAAGATAGAGCTGCTGGAGGGGACAGATAAAGGCATGGGGTCAAAAGTAAATGCAAACAGGACCAGAATCTGAAGAGTCAGCAAGATGGATTGTCAAAGTGTCAATTAAAAGGGCAGACAATCAAGGTTGAGATAGACTGGAGAGTAAATTCAAGGCACCAGCAGCCAGGAAAATACCCAGGGTTTGGGACACCTTGCTTTCCTGCCTCAGCTAACTTTACTTCCCTCTCATTTCGGTGAAGAACAATACTGAGGAGTCCTGCAGATGACCGAAAACTTTTGGCCAGTGATCATTGCTAGCTCAGAGAACAGCCATAGTTCGCTGGCAGGAGTATCTCACGTGTCTGTAGACAGCCTAGCTTCTTCATTCCTAACTCAAAAGGCAGCAAGCAGCTGATTGTGTCTTTCTATACCACAAAACCAGACTGGTAGCATCAGCCTCTCTCTCTTTTTCAAAAATGCCTCATCAGCTTGTTCCCTAAACAAACTCACTTCCACCTATCCCCTTACTCATTTCCCCCTCCCACTCCCACCTTCACTATTCTGATTCATTAAGTTGAGTGTATTCCCATTTCTAACACAAGAATATTTTCAGCCCAGAATGTTCTATTTCTTATCACTGAGAATAAATATTATATATCAGGCTTAGCTTGAACAGTTTTCTAATACACCCAGGATCAAGCAATAACCCTCATCGTTAACTTGTTTTGGACAAACCACTCCTCCTTTCCAACCCTGAGTTCCCTGATCTATAAAATCAGGGTTTAAACTAGATGATCCCTAGGGCCTCTTCCAGTTCTAACATTCTATGATGTAGCTCCACCATATATCACTCCCTTGAGGTTTTTGACTTATTTACATAATTTTAGTTTTTACCTCTGAATGCTGTCAATAATCCTCATGAGCCGAAGCAGTCTCAATATAAAGACAATATCCAGGATCTGTTGGCTGTTATATTCAATGGCTAGAAAACAACCACATATTGCTGATTTGCCATTATTCTGTTTATTCCTTTTATTAACAAAATCCAAACTTTTATTGGTATTACAGGATATGTCATAGGGTCATAGATTTAGGGCTGGAAGGGAACCCAGAAGCTGTTGAATCCAATCTCCTCATTTTACAAATAAGAAAACTGAAGCTCCAAGAAGTTATATGACTTGCCATGGGTGACACAACACGTAAATATTTGAGGCAGGATTAAAACTCAGGTCTTCCTCTGCCAAGTCCAGCACTCTATCCACTATGCCAAATAAGTGCCTCATGCTTTAGAACATGACTAGATTTGATTCTCCTTTCACCATGGAGACAACCCTGGTTTCTCACAGGCTGTCAGTGGAGCATAAGCTTTGACAAGTGCAATCCAACAGTTGGAAAGGCTTCAAGTATGAGTCTAGGGAGACTGTAAGTACTTCATTTGAGGACCAGTCTAACTCAGTTCTAACTTCCAAGAGACTTCCAGCTCTATTTCTTTGATCCTATGAACTTACAAGCATTTGTATGTTCTTCACCAACTCATGAAGAAGATGGGGGGAATGAACGTGGTACCCCAATTCCCTCCCTCATGCATTCTATAGACTATGGCTAGGCCTGGTACCCTCCCTGGTGTGATTATCTATTTACCAGTAGGGGACAAATGTGAGAATTTGACCATTCCGTATAACCCAGGCTGCATTCTATAAGGGCTGAATTTCTGCCCCATAGCTCTAAGAGTATGGTTGAGATTCCCATGCCTTATAATTACCTTTCTATGATTCTGAAGTACTTGACCCTAAGTAGAGAAAGCTGAAACTTCCAGTCCGATGACCAGTTTTTGTCTTACCAGATAAGGAAATTTTAACATGGAAGTTAAGTAGAAGTAAACCCCATAAAAAATATAATCAGCCATAGATTGGAAGAGATTAACTATCCCTGAAGAGTAGAGGCTATGCCTTGGTTTATGACTGCTTTCGTAAGTCCACAGCTAACATTTGCTTAATATCTCTCACCATCACGAGTCAGGCAACAGTAACACAGAATGATGTGGTGCTTACCTGACTTAATTGCAGCATTGGCTACTGTGGCCATCAAGGCTGCAATGATGATTAAAGTATCAAACCTAAAGGAATGGAAAAGAAATTAATGGAATATCATTATGTTAGAATATAAGGAAAAAATATTCAATACAAAAGTCCAAGATTTATATCCTATCTTAAGGAGCATTCACTTAAAACCAAACCAAAAAGATTCCTAAATAGCTAAAGTAATGCCCAAAACAATTTGATTTTCTAATTTCAAGTAAAACCAAAACTTAGACAAAGAATGAACAAATTACAGCCTCAGACACTTGACACTTACTAGCTGTGTGACTCTGGGAAAGTCACTTAACCCCAACTGCCTCACCAAAAAAGAGAAAAAATAAAATAAAAGTTAAAAAAAAATGAACAAATCATCATATTCAGGTCTAGCATTTATAACTAATTATCCATAACAAACTGAGTTATTTGACATATATCACTAGCAGTTCTTCCAATGAGAAAGAAGAGCTGATTTAGGATCTATAGTAACAGCTATAAATATGTGGCCTGCTGTAGACAAACTGCCTGTTTACTCTTGGTCATCAGAGAATGTCTTCTGAGGAAAACAAATAGCTAGACTTTTTTTATGACAGATGACTGCCCCTAAATGCTGCCCTCGAGCTCCAAGAAAAATTGTAACATCTGCAGAGGTTATGTAGTCAGTCAGTCAATAAACATTTATTAAGTACCTACTATTGTCCAGGGGCACCTAGATGGCACAATGGAGAGAGTGCCAGCCCCAGAGTCAGGAGGACCTGAGTTCAAATCTGACCTCAGACACCTACAAGCTATGTGATCCTCGGCAAGCTACTTAACCCGTGAGCCTCTGTTTTGTCATCTGTGAAACGAACTGAAGAAGGAAATGGCAAACCATCCCAGTATCTTTGCCAAGAAAACCCCAAATGGAGACACAGAGAATTGGACACAACTGAAACAACTCAACACTATTGTCTAGGAACTGTGCGAAGCACTAAATCTAGTGCAAGATGACTGGGTTAGAGATGAGCCCTGGTAAAACAAAGTGGATATAAAATGAATATCTTATATAAAGCATTATACATAAAGTATAGAGATAAGAAATAGTGCTAAGAGAATGGCATGAAAAGAGAATGGGCTGGAAGACAAAGCCATATCCATTAGCTTCAATCTCAATACAGCTCTGTGTGTGACCTTGGGCTAGTCACTTCTTCTTCTTCAGGCCTCAGTTTCCTCATCTGTAAAATGAGAAAATTGGATTAGATGACCTCTAAGGTTCCTATCAGCTCTAAGTTCTATGATCCTATGAATGTTGATCAATGAGGAAGTGTCCATAAAGATTAAACCAAAAATCTCAAACTTTACAACAAAATTATGAAGAGTTGAAAGCTGGCAACCACTCAGCATGCAATGGAAAACAATAATATTCGGAATTCTGTAGGCACATACGACAAATAAGGAACTCTGTAGAAGGTCAATGGTAACAGATAGATTAGGATCAGTTTGTCATAGAGAAAGATGCTTAGTTGGGGAATCAATAAATTGGATCCCAGAGGACTACAAACAGAGAACTGAGAGGCTGAAAATTCAATGGCTCTAACAGTAGCCTGGCTAGTTATAAAAGATGGAAACAATACAACAGGCGATATTCTATACTCACATTATGAAGTGTTAAAACAATATTGTTATAGGATCACTAGACCAAGGAAATGCTGTAGATATAATGCATCTTATTTCAGCAAGGCATTTGGCAAAGTTTTTTTAAGGATATACTTGCAGGCAAGGTCAAGAAATGTGGACTAGAAAATTAGGATGCATCCAGAGCACACTGAATAACCATTACCAGTGTTGATTAATGGATTTATGCCAACCTGAGAGGAACTCTCTAGCAATTCCCCACAGGATTCTATCCTTAGCTGTGCCCTAGTTAGCCAACACTTTTATCAACAACTTAGATGAAGTCAGAAGCATGTTGGTCAAACTCACTTATGAAAAAAACATGGTGGGGATAGTTAGCACAATGGATAGGAAATCTAGGATCCAAAATTCTATAGGGAAAGTGATTGGCTGGAATAAAATAAAAGCAACAAGATAAAATTTAGTAGGATAGAGGTAAAGTCCTATATTTATGTTAAAAAATTAAATCACATAAATGAGAGACTGAGAAAGATAGCTGCTATAAAAGTTTATACTCACAGGCCAAATAATGGAAGTATAATAGACTGTGTAATGGAAACACAGTGTTCCAGAACAGTGGGAGCAATAGTAGCACTTTATACCCTGTGCTCATCAGAACACACCTGGAATACTGTGTTCAGGTCAGGGAGCCATATTTTAGGGGACTGCTGACCAATTAGGAGGGTGACTGGGATATCCCAGGTTCTAGGAGCCATGTCCTCCAAAGAATGGTTAAAGAAACTTAGAAATTCAGTCTAGACAAAAGAAACTTAGTGCTGTCTTCACACATATTAATGACTGTGATTTGGCAAAGGAAATAAACTTATTCTGTATTGCTCCAGAGGATATAGACCAGTCACCAGAAGGAAGAGGAAGATTTCAGATCATTCTAAGCTTTAAAAGTTGTTTAAAACTGTCCAGCAATGAAGAGAATTGCCTCATGAAGTAATGAGTTTCCTATCCTTGGAAGTATTCAGAGCACAGGCTGAATAACCATATGTGAAGAATATTGCAGAGGGTTCCTTCCCTGGGGAAGTGGCTGGACTAGAGGAGGAGTTCTTAACTCTTTTTGTACATGCGCTTCTTTTGGCAGTTCAGTGGCTTTCTCAGAATACTACTTTTAAATGCATCAAAAATACTTAGGATGATAAAGAAAACCAATTATATTGAAATACAGTTACCAAAACAATTTTTTTAATATGTTTACAAACCCAAGGTTGAGAACCTCTGAACTAGAGAATGCCTAAGATCTCTTTTCAGCTTTAAATCTGAATTCTACTCCCTAAAGTGGTGTTAAATTTTAGCTAGATTGTCAAAGTCTGAAATGGAATTGGTTCATAAGATTTTTACTGAACGAGGTTTTACTGGTGAGATTTAAATCACAAGGCTTCCTAACTCTAATGAAACAGATGATAAATTTTAAGAACAGTTTAGACCAGGAAAGCAAACAAAGCTCTCTTTTCCTTCCTTTCTATCTTTCCCCTCCCATCTCTTTCTCTCTCTCATGCACACACACACACACACACACACACACACACACACACACACACACACATACACACTTTCCTCAAAGGAAGAGATATTAACACTTACCAGTTCCAGAACTGATTCCTTGCAAAAAATGTCTTGGGTTCATAGGTGTACAGCTTCAGGAGTATTTCAATAATATATAGAGAAAGGAATACCCATTCTGCATAGGAAATGAATGGATTTTTCTCATCCAAAGCAATGAATACAGCATTTATTATGATAATTACATCATAAATCCAGACAAATACCCTGTCATGGGAGTTGGTAAGGGATGGGATTGGGGGGGGGGAAGGGAAAGAAAGAAAGGGAGAAAAAAAGAAAGATATAGTTATTGAACATGAGCTGGTCTCAATATACAATGTCTTTGGATTATTTTGAGAAGACCTCTTTCTCTTACTTTCCCTTCTGCCCATTCCCAACAACCCCAGTGGTTTTGCCAACGACAAATAACAGAGCCAGCATTCAATGCCAGGGCCTCTGATTTGAAATCTAGGGTTCTTTTCACCTTCCTGTCTCTCTCCATCCTCTGTAAGTGTGCTGTTCTTTTTTAGCAAAATGAAGGCCAAAGTTCAGCATTATTGAATGCAGCCCTTGAATCAATACAGACTAGGGCTAAACTATTTTATTAACTGTAAATATAAGAAGCTATTATATGTAATAAATATAAGCTAAAATAATAAAATAAAATATATAATCACTACAATAAATACAAATATATATAATAAACTATTTTATTTATTTTTATGGCTACTTTTTATGATAAAAGGAATTTTACAAATATAAAATTAAGAGGAACATTTATTTATTTAAGAGAATAAGCTATTTTCACTACTTCTGAAGCCTCCCTTAATAGCCAGAGAGATAAATGTAATATATGCAAAGTCTCTATAGCAAGGAGCAAGGATGAGGTGGGAGGGAATATTAAGTCACACAGAGCAGAAGGTCAAACTAGGGTGACAAAGAGTTGCCTATTCCACATACTTGGAAGTAATAAAATTGTACTTTTTAAAATTGTCAGTGAGTTTGAATTACAGGATATATTGGTCTTATTTCTCATTGGTATGAATCCATGAGCTCATAAAGTTTGGTCTTAGAGGTAGAGGGGACCTCAAAGTCATCTAGTTCAACCTACAACTCTACAGAAATCTCAACAACATTCTGGACATATGGTCTCCAGCCCAAGCTTCAGGAACTCTGGTAATAGAGAACTCAGAGCTTCCTGAAGGTAACTATTATGCATTTGGCCAGTTCTCTAATTCTTAGAAAGTTTCCCCTTTACATTAAGCCTAAATCTGCCTCTGTGACTTTTATCTATTACTCCTAATTCTGCCCCCTGAGGCTAAGCATAACAAATCTATTTTTTAATGTAGCAACTTCTCAAATACTTGGAGATGCTATCCATGCCTCCATATGTCTTCTCTTCTCTCAGCTAAACATCCCCAGCTCTTGAAAACAAAATAGATGTCCAGTAATTGGGGAATAGCTAATAAATAAGTTATGGTACTGAATGTGATGAAATATTCCTGAGTTGTAAGAAAGAAAGAGCATGATGACTATAGGGTAACATGGGAAAACATGTGAACTGATATATGATGTGCATCATCATGTGAGCAAAGCCAGGAAAACTACATACACAATGACTACAAAATGTAAATGGAAGAATAATAACCAAAAAACAATGAAAACTGAATGCTGTTAAATTATAAACAACCAACCTTAGTCCCAAGGAAGAGATATGAGAAAGAACTTCTTTGTGGTTTCTTTATTTTATTCTTTAATATAAGAGACAATTTTCTGGGAAAGGTTGGAGGGGTGGAAAGGATAGGAATAGACAGGGATTGGACCTGTGTTTTCACTGGGAGGGGGAACTCCCAAGTAAGGAAACTCTCCATCAATGCAAATCGGGAAGAATGTAGTGGGAAATGTATATGACATAAAAACAAAAGATAACAATAAATATGTATTAAAAATAAATATCTCCAGCTCCTTCAACTCATTTGGGAAAATGGAAAGCAAGCAGAGAATACCATCCAGGCTTGTTAATGCTGAATAGTTCTCACTGGCTAGAAATTGTCAAAGAAAAGAGTCCTGTCCCATAACAGATTCCCAGACTCTACACGCTTTTTAAAACCTAAACATCCAACCCATTGAATAGATTTGGCTCCTTCCTTTAACTGAATACCTCCATTCCTCCAGTTTCTGAGAACCCAAAATGTTCCATCCTACACCACGCCCTTTGATCAAATTTTAAACGCAATGTTTTTAGTAGGAATATAAATCAATAGCTTCCTGAAGCTAACTATCGCACATTTGGCCAGTTCTCTAATTCTTAGAAAGTTTCCCCTTTACATTAAGCCTAAATCTGCTTCTATCCATTCTTCCTAGCTCTGCTCCCTAAGGTTAAGCATAACAAATCTTTTTTTTTTCAATGTGGCAACTTCTCAAATACTTGGAGATGTTATCCATGCCTCCCCATGTGTCTTTTCTTCTCTCAGTTAAACATCTCCATTTCTTGAAAACAAAATATCCAGTTATATTGGATTAGAATGAGCATCTATCCCGTTATTAGATCCATTTTATAAGCATAAACCCTACATCTGGAGAAATGCCAGATATTTTTCCTTTATTCAATTAATGTTTTAAAATGTACAAATACATAGGTACAAACACACAGCATAATGGTTTATTTCTAAACATTCTTTCTGGTTAAGTACATAAGTGGTAGTAATAAAATTTTAAATTCATATATATGCACCCATACATAATAGTCTGCCATGTTTAGCTAGCGTATCTAGTCCCAAACTCCTACTCCTCAGACAAAGCTAATTTACTCAGCAATAACAGTAGCTGCCATTTATAAAGTGTCTTAATATTTACGAAGTGCTTTATACACATCTCGTCTGATCTTTACAGCAATCCTCCAAGATAGGTACTGGGGGATTATTATTCCTATTTTACAAATGAGGAAACTGAGGGTCCCAGAGGTGAAGTCATTGGACCAAGATCACACAACTCATGAGCCATAAGAAGCCTTGGTTTGAATCCTACATCTGTAACCAGTACTTTTTTCATTACACTACATCAGAGGTAATTTACTTGTAAACTCTGGCTCTTGCAACACTAAGGGCCTTCCACTCAGTCCAATGGTGATGAGAGAGAGACAGAGACAGAGAAGAGAGACTGAGATAAAGAGGCAGAAAGAGAGAGACAGAGAAGAGAAATAAATGAAGAGAAGGAGGAGGAGATGGAAGGGGGAGAGTACAGAGAGGGGAGAGAGGGACACTTCATCAGGTGAAAAAGTGCAAAGGAGTAAGGGCCAGAAAGGTAACTTTTAATAAGAAACCACCTCTCATCACCACTAGTTCCCCCAAAAGCAAAAACTAACTTACCTGTGTCGAACTACCTTTTGCATAAAGAGACTTCCTGAAGACTTATAGACGTGGGGCATCCAGATCTCCAGGGGATGTCTTTTAAACTTTATAGTAATCACTTGAATGTTCAATAGATCAGCTAATCTTAAAAAACACTTTTTGTCTGCAATACAAAAATGACCCCAGATATTCACGAAAGCATCCACCCCAAGGTCAACCAGTACAAATCTCACATAGAGGAAGAAGGGAGAAGGTGGCTCATTAAATTTCCCTAACTTAACTAACAGGTTTTTAGATCTGGGAGAGCAGGACCATTTCTAATGGGTAGAAGTTGATGATCTTTAGAGATCATCTCATTTAATTCCTTCATTTTATATATGAAAAAACTGAGGCCCAGAGATGTGACCTGGCTAAAGTCATATATCTAATTCATGACAGAATTAGGATTAGAACCCAGGACTTGTTATTTACAATACAATGTTATCTGTAATATATCATTCTTTCTATAATTATTCAGTCAACTAACATTTAAGTACCTACTATATTCCAGGCACTGTGCTAAGGACCCAGCACCAGATTCACAAGTGGCAGAGAGAGCACTCATATTTGCCAAATGACTTGGAGCATGATTTAGATGAATTATTCCATACTTCAGCCAGGTTAATCCTAAAATGTTTTCATCATGTTACCCTTCCGCTCAGAAACCTTCCCTGACTCTCTATTGCCTATAGCAGGGGTGGGGAACCTATGACCTCAAGGCTACATGTGGCCTTCCAGATCCTCAAGGGCAGCCCTTTGACTGAAGCCAAACTTCACAAAACAAATCCCCTTGATAAAAGGATTTGTTCTGTAAAACTTGGACTCAGTCAAAAGCCACATGTGGCCTTAGGCTGCAGGTTCCCCACCTCTGGCCTACAAGATTGGGCTTAAATTCCTAGATCTGCCAGTGAAGGCCCTGAACGATCAGGCTCCAACCTACCTTTGCAACCCTGAATCCCACTATTCCTCTCCATGGCTCTTTACAATAGCCTTGTCTATTCACCCAGATTTACCTTGTGCCTTCCTGCTTTTATACATGACATTCCCATACCCATAATCTTGTCCATTCCCCCACTATCCAATTCTAGCCTATAACTTATGCAATCATGGAACCTCAGAATTAGAAGAGAAGAGCTCAGGTCACCTAATCTGATCTATACATGAAGCCCTTCACAAGTTACAAGAAATCAGCCAAGGGGCAGCTAGGTGGTGCAGTGAATAGAGCTCCGGCCTTGTACTCAGAAGGACCTGAGTTCAAATCCAACCTCAAACACTTGACACTTACTAGCTGTGTGACACTTACTAGCAAGTCACTTAACCCTGATTGCCTCACCAAAAACAAACCAAAAAAAGAAAGAAATCAGCCAGCCTCCCCTTCAAGGGCTTCAAGAATAGGTAACTCACTATCTACCAAGGTAACTCCTTCCAATTTGGGGCAGCTCTAAGCTTAGGATATTTTTCCTTAGAATGAGACAAAAATCAAACACTCTATAACTTCTCGTTAGAATTGGTCCTCACCTCTGGGACCAACCAAAACAAATCCACTCTCTCTTCCACATGACAGCTCATGAAATATTTGAAAATAGTTATCACGTCCCTCCTAAGGCTTTTCTTCAACCATAGAGATAGTCCCAATTCATTCTCTTTCATTCTTCTCCCAGCCCTGGTCCTGATTTCTAGACTTCTAAACCAGGCCTTCTCCACTGCTATTCATCCTAGAACTTGCCTTGGCACTGGAGGCCTCCTTGCCCAGTAACAACCTGCCATCCCTGTGGCCTATTCCTCCACAGGGCCTGCCCCCTCCTCCCATTGCTAAGTTCCTCCTGGAGTCTCCATTTTGTGCAAGGGCTGAGGCTGGCCTGCCTTCATTCTCCCCCCAACTTTATTTCTTATTTTCTGGACTTAGCTTTCCCTTAATCCACTCTTCCCACTCCCACTCCCCAACCTCCCACCTTCCTTACTGGCTCCCTTTTGTGGTGTCTTTCCCCCTTAGAATGTAAACTCCTCGAGGGTAGGAACTATATTTCTGTCTTGCTTGTTTCCTCAGTGGTTGGCACACTGCCTGGCACACAGTAATATTTCATAAATGCTTGTTTCCTTCCTTCTTTCTTCCTAGTTTCTTCAGCTGGTGGGAGGCAGCATGGTACAGTGAACAACATGAAGACTGTGGAGTCAGAAGAGCTGGATTCAAATCCCACTACTGATACTCACAACTATACTAGGCCTCAGTTTACTCATCTGTAAAGTGGGTAAGATGGCCTCTGAGGGCTTTTCTTGCCCTAGATCTATGATCCTCATCTGCATGGTTAGCTATCCCCCTCACAATCCTTCTGTTCTCACATTCTGACTTGTCCCACAGGCAGCCTGTCAGGATAGACTTGAATGTTTGACATTGTCCCTCACCTCTCCTATCCTTTTTATAAGGGTCAGGTGCAAGACCAGAGGGTCACTTTATTAATTTAATAATAATGAATAATTAATTTAATAATCTGATACTCACCCACATATCCCTTCTGTTCCTCATCAGATATCCTCAAAAGGAGCTCCCGGTGGGAACTGCTGATGTCAGGTGCCACTATCTTAACTAACTGCTTCCACTGGGCTTCCTTAACTACAAACTCGGTGCCCTCCTTGGCCTTCAGAATGTTGAAAGCTTTATCATTTTGTGACGTTTCATGTAAGCCAGTTTGCGAATCTCATTCTAAAAAAAAACACGGAGAATTTTTTTTAAAGAGAAAGCCAGGTTCATATTTAAGCAGCCTTGTGGTAACTCTGTGGTCCAGCCCACCTGGTCTTCTCTTTATTCCTCGCCTTTAACTCCATTCTCCATGTCTGTGTTTTTGCACCCAGCCATACCAGACACCCTCCTGTCTCAGAGTGCCTCTCTCTTACTTTAAGATGCACTATCTCCTCCAGGAAGCCTTTCCTGGTGCCTCCAACTGCTAGCCCCCACCCTTCCAAACTATCTTGGATATAGCTACTTTGTATACATTTGTGTTTTATTCACCTTGTATTTATGCTATTGAATATATATTTATGTATTTTTGTATGTAATTGTTGTCTCTCCCATTAGATGTATGTTCCTTATCACCTACAACTTGTTTCATTCTTTATGCTTATATCCTTAATTCCTAGCACATTGTAGGTGTTTAATAAAATAGTGGTTGGATTGATACTGACATAGAAACAAATGAGAAACCGACACTGATCCTGTGTCCACGCACGATCAATAGCCACTTCCTCTGTGCCCTGGGTGTGCTCACTCCTCCCCCTTCGGCATAAGCAGAAGCCACCTTACCTGCATTCAGTGTACATGGAAGCTCTGGTAAAGACTGACACTTTAAAGGGCTGAAACAGAGTAGCAGATGACAGATAGCTCGGGCCTCATCTATCCAGCAAGAGGGAAGAAGTGCAAATGAAAGAAAATCAGGGAGGTTTCTAAGAGAAAACCCTAGAATTAAGTTAGTCAGGTCAGGAGGGAAAGGAAGAAGACAGCTTGGGAAGTGAGGCTAGGCAAGATAACTCTGAAGTTTGGGAATACTGGCTGTGGAGACCGATAGAATCTCCGTTCCTTGGGGGCAGGGACTGGCTCCCCTTTATATTTGCATCCCCAGCACCTAGCACACATGATAGACACTATAAATACTCGCTAACTCATAAAGAACAGCTAACTTTGTGTGTCAGGCATCATTTTAACAATGTTCAGTATGAAACCTGAAGTTATGCCTAGAGAACTAAGAAAATGACATTGTTTCCTCCAGGACCTGGGAAACCAGAGAAAACAACTCCAGTGTGTCACAGAAGAAACAGAGATACTAGCAAGGGAAACCAGATTTCCTGTGGAGCCAGGCAAGAAGATCTGAACTGGGAAAGGTTTGGACTCTTTTTTTTTTATTGTATGTATCATCTTTTAACCTATATAGTTTATACTCTTTGAATCTTCCTATTATAGTGGTACTGGTGGGGTATAACCTCCCTCCCCCATGGGTCTAACCCCATGGAGCCCATTAGGATGGATGTGTAAGGATCTGGTGTGTGCCAGAACTCCTCTGACAACTCTGGGGTCATGTGGGGCTCACTGCTGATGGGCTCCCTCTTTGAGATAACATTTAACCTCCAGGGGCCTCAGTTTCTTTTTCATCTATAAAATGAGATGATTGCATTATATAATCTTTGAAGTTTCTTCCGATTCTAAATCTATGAATCTAAGAATTCTCCAAAGTACCCAAGTGATATATAAATGTGTTCTAGGTGATGAACAAGAAAACACAGAAATGAACAAGAAAATTTTGAAATGAACAAAGCCAAGTAGATAATTTTGTGTTACTGTATTGCTCTGAATATGCTATAGATGGTGCTATATGGCTATATTCTTCCCATAAAATCTGGCTGATAGAAAACCCGAACTGAGTCTCTAACATTAGTATTCTATTGCAACATATTCCTATGGATTGTTTTTCCTTCCAAAAAGATCTCATTTTAGGGATGCAGCCTATGTTCAGTCGAAAATAATAATTTTTTAAAGTTTCATATACTTCTAATTCCTCATTCTGCCTTAAAGGTGGATCCGGATTCTCTGGAAAAGCTTCTTAAATGCAAAGATGATATAGGTTTTGTCTTTATACCCCCAGAGTCTAGCACATGCTAGGCCTTTAATATAAGCTTGATAAAGTGAATTAAATTCTCAAAGGAAGTTAACTCTGGCAGATCCTAGCTAGAGAAGCTTCACATGTGAACCTGTAACAGACTCTGTTTCTGTTGATGAGAACCAGCCTAGCTAAGTTTGAGAGAGTAATTACGTGAGGGTTGCTCACTGCAGAATGCATATTTTTGGACAAGCCAACCCATGAAGTCAACTTCCTAGGGCATGGTGAGAATCTCCACTAACAGAAGGAGTATTCACACTGATAAATCACACGTTCTTCAAGTAAAATTCCAATATTTTTTTTACCAAGCATTATAGTAGATAGGGAGCCAGCCTTGGGATCAGGAAGACCTGTGTATTCAAGCGCTCCCTACAATACACACAGGCTGTGTGACCTTTGGGTAAATCATAACTTCTTGGTGCCCCAGACAACTAAGACTCTAAATTGCAGAGCAAGTACTAATCTGCATGGGTAGCTGGGAATTCCCTCACAGGAAGCATCCTAGAACAATAAATCATAGATCTAGTCTCCCCCTCCTCCCCCCCTTCTTCTCCTTCCCCCCTTCTTCTCCTCCCCCTGCCCCACTCCTCCACTCCACACACACACAGAGCACATGTCTTTTCCATATTTCTTTCTTCTTCTTCTTTTTTTGGCCAGGTAATGGGGTTAAGTGACTTGCCAAGGATCACACAGCTAGTAAAGTGTCAAGTGTCTGAGGCCGGATTTGAACTCAAGTCCTCCTGACTCCAAGACTGGTGCTCTATCCACTATACCACCTAGCTGCCCCGTCCTGTTTCTAAAGATAATAAAAATAATAGTGGCTAACATTTGCATAGCACTTTAAGATTTACAAAGCAAGTACTTATATATATTATCTCATTTGATCCATGCAACAACCCTGTGAAGTAGGAGCTTTTATTACCTCTATTTTATAAATGATGAAGAAACGGAATCCAAGAGAGGTTAAGTGATTTTGCTCAGTCATATAGCTAATCCTCTGAGGAGCATTGGATACCTGATTCCAAGTCCAACACCCTGTCCATTATGCCACTTGGTGACCATTAATGAGGGTGAAAAGTGTACTTTCAGCATCCATGGGGAACTCCTGGTATGGGAATTCTCTTTACTAACATGGACTAGAAAGCCATCAATAACTTAGCAAATGAATTCTAGGAAGCCGCCTGAGATTTCTGAAAGCTTAAGTGACTTGTCTAGGGTCACCTAGCTAGTATCAAAAGTACAATTTGAATTTTAGTCTTCTTGACTCCAAACTCAACTGCTATGCCATGCTGTAAAAAGAAGCAGCATTTTAAATATCTTCAGATGCCACAAAGCTAGATGGGGGAAGACGAACAGGTATTTCATGGCACCATTTAATTTTAATGACGTTTCTTAGAGCTTCATCAAACAATTATGTCTCCACTGCACAGAAGTAACTCAAGCATGAGTGGGAACACAATGACCTAAAAAAGGAAGCTTCCTTCCCACGTTAAGCTCTTGGGTGACAAGCAAAAGACGGGATCAGCAGTAAAACAAGGGGAAACTCCCTAGAATTTTGAAGCATATTTTTCATGATAGAGAAAAAAGAACCCTATAAATGCATTGGTCATCATTTCTTTGCCCCAGCACACAACAGCCAATGTTTCCTGCCCTTTTGCTTTCTTTACTTTACCTTTAAATGCTTTCTGTAGTTGTTGTACACAACAGCTAGAAAGACAGACATGAAGATGTAGGTATTGATGACAATGTAGGTTATGAAAAAGAGAGAATATCGCCAATCTAAGTTGTAAGCTGGCATCCTGGAAAGGAACAAAACAAAGCAGAATTGTTTTTATAGCAACACATTTTGGATTTTAATCTTAATCACCCTCTTCACCTGCTTTCTGTGCTTCTCTGAGGCAAATGACTGCTCATACATGTATGGAGCTAGGCTCTGCGGCAGTCCACTGTAATGGAAGAGCCTTGGATGGGGTGCTAGGCAACCAGACTCCTAGTCCAGGCTCTCCCACTGCCCCTTGGATAAATCACTTCTTTTCTCTGGAGGTCAGTTTTCTCATTTGAAAAATGAAGGGATTGAATAAGGTTGTCCCCAAAACTCCTTCCAGCATCCTTGGTTTCTATGAGGGTCACAGAGAAAACTCCCTTTCATGCACATCATAGACGATGCCTAGCACATTGCCTGTTACACAGTAGGCATTTAATAAATGGATTCGTTGATCTGCCATCCTGAAGTTAGATCATTGTCAAAGATGCCACTCACAGTGGAAGAGGATACATAGAGCTGAGCTGAACTCCCCTGGTCACTTCCGGGGACATGTGTTAGGTCACTCAAGGATTTTGTTGGCTCTCAGATGAAAGCTGGAGCATGTGATGCTCAGGGAAGACTAACACTAGATCTCAACTCCCTGGGTGTTTCTTCTGCTTGTGTTTCTTTCCCTCAGCACAGGTGAAAAACAGCAATCCTGGGATAGAAGTAGCCTCAGAGACAACCTCATGAGTTCATGAAGTCAGGAGCTCCTAATTCCCTCAATCAAAACCAATTAGCAGCAGAAGTTTTCTGCAACTGTGTACCATTTTCAAAGAAGATGACCACTGTCAAGAGGATGAACCCAAGCCAAACCTGGCTTGACCAAACACAAGAACATTAAGGCAGTTGTTTTCATAGTACAGAGCTGAGGGGAAGATAAAATAGATGCTTAATTAGCATCCAATAAAATGTTTCAGATTTTCAGTGTTTTGAGGGTTAACTTCCCAGGAAAATATAATAGGACTTGTGGGTTATGGTATCATGTGTTAAGTCTTTGTCAGTGTACATTTGTGAGTCTTCCGACCATTTCTTTTTTGTAGAAGAAGAAAACAGCTATCCTATACCTGATACAGAATGCAGACATTAGGGCTCATAGTTTTGAATTTCCACAGGAATGCCTCCATTTCCCATACCTCACATTTTCTAACAGGAAAGAAGGCTCAAAAAACATTCTCCTTTCATTACTTCACCTGTAATCAAGCTACAAAGTAAGGACACTTCACAAATAGAGATACAAACAGAAAGAGTTTGCCAAGTATTTCCCCCTACTTTGAACATTTGCCTGGCTCACAGACCTCTTCTCTCTGGATTCCCAGAATTTCAGAACCAGAAGATCCCTTTAGAGATCACCTAGTCCAACCAACACTCTGATTTTACAAACTTAAATAAACTTCTATATTTCCCTTCTATCATCAAGCTTCAAACATCAGCATTCATATGAATGAGCCCTCCAACATCCTGACTCTACCATTTCTTGACTTGAACACCGAAGTCCTCTAGCTCCACTTTAACCATTCATCAGTAGAGTCATATCTTGAACCTTATCATTCAAAACTATACTACCAGTGGATAGAGCACTAGCCTTGGAGTCAGGAGGATCTGAGTTCAAATCTGGCCTCAGACTAAACACTTGACACTTACTGTGTGACCCTGGGCAAGTCACTTAACCCCAATTGCCTTTACAAAAAAAAACTATACTACCTGACTGCAACCTCCTCTCTCCCTCTACCTATTCTACTTCTTCAGTCCTGCTCAACATGGTCTTCATGCTGGCCACTTCTCTTAGTGACCTTGCTATCCTCCTATTCTAAATACTCCTCTGGCTTCACTGTCACAAGGTTCTTGATAGCACCTTGGCATTTCTTGGCTACTTGATCTCTCACTATATCTTCCTTATCTATTTATACTGTTGGGTAGACCCCAACCTCTGCTCCCCAGACTGCCAAGCAATTCTGGAATAAGTCATGAAAACAATGATTGAGTCAACAATGATTGAGTTCATATTATTTACTGTAAGTTGAATTATAATTAAAACTTGGAAATCAGGTCTTATTCTCATCATTAAGGATATGTAAGACTAGAAAAAAGGAGGTAGGCTGGGAGAAGGAAGGAAAGTAGAATGTCATCCTAGGTGCTGCTTTATTATCTGCAAAATATTAAGAGAATCAGAAGTGGGCACCAAGATATTGGATGGATCCTCTCTAGAGGATTTATTGAAAGCTATAGATAAAGAATCACACAGAATGGAGCATGAAGGAGTTTTGATCTGTAATAGTTAAGGAAGAACTCATGATGATAAGAACATGAATTCATCAAATTATCAAAGTATTAACTCCCTATTACATCATCCATGACTGATCCATATCTTCCCCACAAACTCTGCCTCTTAGAATCACTTTTTCTTACAAACACATCTCTACTCTAAACTTGTACATGAAGCCTTTCCTGATTCCCATCGGCTGCTAATGACTTTCCCCTCCAAAAATGTCACCTTGTATTTGTAGCACCCCCTTCTAGACTACCTCCCCATAAAGCAACTATTACCCTCAGGTTCAAGGGTGTGTGGGATTCTGCATTCCTAGAACAGTAGCTGATCAATCCCTACCAGTATGCTTTCTTTTAACTAACTGGCTCAAAGCAAAAGTGTTTACTAAGATGGCATAGTAAGAAGAGAAGTTATAAAACATCCCTCTCTTCCCTCCCTTCCCCATTAACCTAAGGAACACTCCCCTAAGTCCACAGGAAAAGTGGACACGAACTGAGAGTATAACATCAGTCAAGCACTCAGGCAGGGAACATATACGGCCAAAGTAACTCATGCCTCTGGTACTGCAAGACCACAGTGAGTTTTTTTCCTCATATATTCCTCATCTTGTTCCCCTCTGGGCATAGCATCTCTACTGAGTAAGCTATTTCACAGGGTTTCCTAGATCCACTCCTCCTTCCAAGGCTAATTCTCTCTCGAATCCACAGTCAGCTTTCTCCTCTGCTGCCAAAAGGCATTCTCATTCCTTGAAGCTGCTCCCTGTTTGGAAGGCTATCTCCTTGGGTCTATCTGGAAACTGGCTTTCTGCTCCCTGTCTCAAACGGAGAGACTCAGCCAATTTTAGTTGCTTCTTCCAATTCAATCAAACTTTTTCCCATATTGTAAAACAATACAGGGTACAGGCACCTAGTTATACTTAACACTGCATTGTCTGCCCCTTGCTTTATAGGATTATATTTCTAATATACACATTTCAATTTTGCATATGTTTATGTGCACATCTTATCTTCACTTATAAACTTGTAAATATCTTGAGCGCAAGGAATTTCTTTTTTTTTTTTCTTATATCCTCAGAATATAGTAAAGTGTCTGGCACATAGAAAATGCTTAGTAAGTGGCTTATTGATTGATTGATAAAAGCTAATTCATTCTCTAAGCTTCAGCTCAAATGCTACCTCCTCCACAAAACCTATCCTAATCTTATTAACCAGAGGGATTTCTCCTTCTTTGACACTCCCACAACATCTTATCACATTATCTATTACTATTATTATTGTTCATCCCCATCTCATTAGCTTTATTTGTATCCATGTCTCATCTTTCCTATTAGAATATAAATTCCTTGAGAGAAGAAGCTACACCTTAGTCATCATTGTATTCACAGTTGTTCTGGGGGACCCTGAACACAGTAAGGACTTAATAAAGCTGAGTAGATGAGCCTCCTTTCTTTTCAGTTCAAATATACACAATTCATCATGGCTTATCCCCTCTAGGTGGAACTTATGGAATCAACCCTTCACTCCTCAGCACTCATGATCACAAGCATGTTGGTCTTGCAGAGAGGGGTGGGAGGAAACTTTTCCTAAAAAAAAAAATCAATATCTATAGGGCATGCTTCTCTGAAAGAGAGAATTCAAGTTCCAATAGTAAGAACTTCCTATATCTATGAATTAGCCGAATAGATTTAAATTTTAAAAATATTTTTCCAACACTATTCACATGTTAGCTGGTACTACGCTCCACCAAATAAATAAATATCATAAACAAGTAAATATTTCATGGGTCTTCCCCATCACCCATTTAGAAAGAATACAAAAACCATTCATTTCTCTCATGATATGCCTTGTGTCAGGAGATTCCCCACATTAAAAACTACCTCTACTCTGCTAACATGTAGTTATGCTCAGGTAATTAAATCCAAGTATTGACATGAATACAATGAAGGAAAAATAGTAAAGTACATACATGACATCAGGGCTGTTAGCGGTGGTCACCAGCACATAGAGATCAAACATTATATCTAGGATATTTGTAAAATAGGATGATCCTTCCACTGTTTTAAGATTCCTAGAGGACAGAGAGAGAGAGAGAGAGAGAAGAAAAAACACACACAAGTATAAGAAAGGTGAACAATGAACACACAAGTGTACTTTTTGGCCTTGCAGGAATGTGGTTGTAACTGTCCAGTGATAAAGTCACCTTCTGATTTAAGAGTCCTTCTTGGATAAGGGATAACTCAAATGTAGGAGGGCCCAGAAGAGAAGATTCTAGCAGCATCCTTACCTATCACCAAATAATTTCAGGGCCATAAGGGAGAACATCAACACATTGAACATGAGCAAGAGAAATACATAGAGAACCTCTGGCAAAGTGTTCCGGATACTTCGGAAGGCTCTTCGAATCTGCCAAGACAAATATTTAATTTTACTCTGGATGCAACCAAAACTACCAATATGACTTCTCCTTGAGAGAAAGTAGCTGTCTATTTGAGAAAAAAAAATCTGTAACATATCAAGCCAACCTTCTTACCTGACGACTTTCAGGGAAGTTGATTAAGAAGAGAGGTCTCAGGAATCTTGACCATCGAACACTGTGGATGTTGAAGACTCTAAGAGATCCATAAATAATCAGATCTAACAAGGTCAGCTACAAAAGAAATAAAACAAGAAGTTAAGAGGACTAAAAGAGGTGAAAAAAGGCTAACAATAAATGGCTTTAGGGAGAAAATACTAAAATACAATGAAATCTCATTAATTTAGACTTTCTAATTCAGATTTTGTCACTTTTGGATGGGATTATGCTATGGTTTACTTCATCTCAGAGACAAGAAGATTAGCTAACCAAGTAACTAATAAATGTTGTCTTAGTATTTAATTGGTGCTCAAATCTTTGTTGAAAATCAAAAAGCATCAGGGCATGGTGGCCCATGCCTATAATCCCTGCTACTAAGGGAAGCTGAAGCTGGTAGATTACCTGAGTTTGGGAGTTCTGAGCTTCGGAAGGGACAAAGTCAATCAGTTGTCCTCACAAAGTCCAGCATTACTATGTTGAGTACCTGGGAATGGAGGACCACCAGGCTGCCTAAGAAGGAATAAACCAGCCCACCTTGGAAAAAGGAGCAGGTTAAAGCTTCCATGGGGCAGCTAGGTGGCACAGTAGATAGAGCACTGGACTTGGAAACAGGACTCATCTTCCCGAGTTCAAATGTGGTCTCAGACACTTACTAGCTGTGTGACCCTGGGCAAGTCACTTTAACCCTGTTTGCCTCAGTTCCTTATCTGTAAAATGAGCTGGAGAAGAAAACAGGAAACCACTCCAGTATCTTTACCAAGAAAACTCTAAATGGAATCACAGGGTCAAACACAACTGAAAACAACTGAATAACCACAACAAAGCATTGGGATTGAGACCATGAGTAGCTTTAGTACTTTTAGCCCAGGTGAGATAGGGAGACCCAGTCCCAGGAAAGGAAAAGGAAAAAAGGAAAGGAGGGGAGCAGAGGGAGAGAAATGGGGGAGGGGGAGAGAAGAGGAACAAAAAAAAAATCATTTATTGAGTGTCTACTATATCCAAGATACTAGGAATACAAAACAATTTTATTAAGCATCTCTACTAGATGCTAGAGATAAAAAGATAAAAACAAAACTCCCTTCCCTCAAGGTGCTTAATTCAACATGTACATATAAAGGAAATACAAAAGAAATATGTGCATGAGTTGCATGTACAAATACAAGCATATACAAGATACTACAAAATAAATGCAAAAACACAAAGCAAGGGAGAAGAGAAAAACAAGTAAGTATAAGCCTCAGTCTTTGCTCTCAAGGGGATTAAAATCCACTTGATGAGATGAGACATATGCCTAGCACTGAATATTTTATTTTGGATGGATTAAAGTTTCATGTCTGTTACAGGCCCATTCACTTTAAAGAATGAAAGTGACAGAGAAATCTTTCACTCCTACTCCTTACCCTGTTTCTAAACAATATTTTAGGTGTTCTTTAAAAAAAAAAGTCATTTCCACTTCATTTCATGTTAAGATTGGAAGAATCCAGGTCATAAATCATGACTTTGCAACAAGGAAGCAGAGAGCGGTCTGTCTCTCGGCTGTAAAGACAGACTGAATGGCCATTCATTGACTGTACTTATTTATTACAAGGGAGGGTTCAGCCGGTGCAAGGAGGCAGTCACTGGGGACTAAGAGTGATGGTTTGTTTGTTGTTGTTTTTTTTAAAAAAGCAAAACATTCAATGGCAAAACATTTTTTTAAAAAGTAAAACATAAAATAGTTAAATAGTTAAAAAGAAACAAAAACTGCTAAATAAGATTACTTTAAAAGAATACAAGAGATACAAAATATCCAAGGGAAAGGGAACAGATTTTTCCCCCTAAATATAATGCATATAAGCATAAGTGCAAGATATAAGAGAAGTAACATACTAGAATAATTTTTTAAAGGATCAGTTTCTACAAAGGTTCTACAAAGCCATAGGTATGAAACAGTATACATAATATCAGATTTTTTTCAATGTATTGAATGGTTTTGCTGACTTTTTCTTCTTCCCTAAAAAAAAAAACCAAAAAACCTAAAACTTTTTAATAAAGGATGGGACTCTGGGAGGAGGGAAGGGGGAATGCAGGGGAAATATAGGTGATATAAAAGCAAAAGATATCAATTAAAATCAATTTTTTCCCCAAAGGTCAATTTTACCATCTTTGATGATGTGATACTTCGAGAAATATTTCCACAAACTCTACAATATCTTCCCTTTCTCTTTCCCACTCCAATTTTCCTGCACCTGTAACATTCATCATTAAACAAAGGGGCCATAAAGGCAAATATTAAGTTTGGCCTCTGTGCATGACACAGTGAAAATTCTTTTTTTTTTTTTAAAAGAGAGACACAGACAGTGACCAACTTTCACAAACTTTGACCTGATTTGTGATTCTCCCTTTCCCCAGAATTTAAAACAAACCACAACTTCCTGGCCACAAGCAGCAACCCCAGCATGACAGAAACGAAAAGCAAATGAGGAATAATAAGGAAGGACTGGTTTTACATCCTTGTGCATGAAGAAAATTTATAAATAATATACCAAGCAGCCACGTCTGTCATTTCCCTCTGCCAAATCTTCTAAGATATAACACATAAGACTCACCAGTATGGTTAGCATGATGCAGATGTTTTTTGTATCCTTCCAAAAAACCGTGCGTGGAGTGACTTTTGCAAACTGTACAAGCCGTCCAAAGAATGCACAAAGACAAATAACTTCAATGAGTGAGGTAGCCTACACATTGAAAAAACATCAGATTTATCATCATTTGACTTCATATTTCTAGACTAAACATTAATTTTTTCTTACCCTCTGTTGCCAATATTCCTCCTCTCACTCAGAAAATCACAAAGTGAAGCAGTACAATTGAAAATTGGTATAAAGGGGCAGCTAGATGGCACAGTAGATAAAGCACTGACCCTGAAGTCAGGAGGATCTGAGTTCAAATTGGACCACAGACACTTCCTAGTTGTGTGACCCTGCTCAAGTCACGTAACCTCAATTGCCCCCCCCAAAGAAAAAAATTGTTATAAAATGGGAAGAGAAGCAATACTGGGGGAAACTATGGTGATGTAAAAAATAAAACAAAATACATTAATAAAAACATTTTAAAAAGAAAAAGAAAATTGCTTTAGTCCTCAGTGGCTTAACAATGACATGTCCAGTAAAAGAAGGCACATGCATGTTACTCTAACTTACCGTGCTTTATTTAGGAGAATTTACTCTTCCAGTTCACAGGCTCTTATTTGACAAATAGCTACAAAATGGATAGTCCAACCCTCCTTCCCTATTTTAAAGATGAGGAACCTAAGTCTCAGAAAGGCTAAGTGTTTTATCCAAATTTACACAGATCAGATGTAGCATAGCCAGGATTTGAACCCAAGTCCTTTGATTTTAAATCCAGTGCTCATAGAATGATAGATTTCGAGCTGGAAGGAACCTTAGAAACTGAGTCCAACCCCCTCATTTTACAGATGAGGAAAAAAAAGGCTGAAAAAGATTAAATGATTTGCCCAGTGTAGTTAAGTACCCTTTCCTTTGCAGCCATGTGGCATGGTAGATGAAGAGCTAGAATTGAAATCCTGAAGACCTGCGTTCATATCCTGCCTCAGATGCTTACTAGCTGTGTGACCTTGGGGAAGTCACCTAATCTATCTCAGACTCAGTTTTCTCATCTTTAAAACAGGGCTAATAATAGCATTTAACTCACAGGGTTGTTTGTAAGGATCAAATGAGAGAGACAACATATGTAAAGCTCTATGCAAACCTTAAAACACTATAACATTGCTAGCTATCATCGTTTACCATTTAACTGCTAGGATGCAGCTCACCAGCAGGGTAAGATGATGATAAAAGTCTGATTCTTTGCCATAAATTATTACGTTATATAGAGATATGCTATATCTTGAATATGTAAAGCTGTTTACCCAATAGTAAAGGAAAGTCTCAAATGACAATATTTCATGAATTCTCTTGATATTCTTGACCTTTTGTTCCTCCAGATGAATTTTGTTGCTATTTCTTCTAGCTCTATAAAATAATTTTTGATAATTTGATTGGCATGGCACTCAATAAGTAAGTTAATTTAGGCAGAATTGTCATTTTTATTATATTGGTTTGGCCTACCCATGAGCAACTGATATTTTTCCAGTTGTTTAGATCCGACTTTACTTGTGTGAAAAGTGTTTTGTAACTGTGTTCATATAATTCCTAGATTTCTCTTGCCAAGTAGACTTCCTAGTATCAAATGACGATGTTGAGACATCAAAGGCTCCATGACTCAGCCATACTTAGCTGGCTAAGTATGAGAATGAAGCCCTCTTAGGCACCAGAATAATATCACAGTTCTCTCCTTGGGGCTGCTTTTGCATCCAAGAGTGACAATTGCACCCAGTCATTGAGCATGAATCCCCTGTGGCTGGGAAAGGGGAGTTGCTAGTGACAGTTAAGCTCTGCATACATGAATCCAATCCAAGTGGCTGAGTTGATTTCAATCATACCGTAATAGCACTATGAATAAAGATGTATTTTGGTGGCACTTTTCTTTATTAGAAACTTTCCTTTCCCAGCAATACAAGGATCTAAGACATTTCCAAAGGCCTCCTGATGGAAAATGCTATCCACATCCAAAGAAAGAACTATGGAGTTTGAATGCAGATCGAAGTATACTATTTGCTATTTTTTTTAAATTTCTGTTGAGCTTTGGTTCCTCTTTCTTGTGGTTCCTGCTATTGGTTCTAATTCTTACTTACAACATCACTAATGTGAAAATATGTTTAATAGGAATGTATATGTATAGCCTATATCAGATTGTATGCCGTGTTGGGGAGGATGGTGGGGAGAAAGGGAGAGAAAAATTTTAAACTCAAAAGCATATGGAAGTGATTGTTGATAAATCAAAATAAATTAATTTTTAAAATAAATTAAAAAAAGAAGAAGAAGAAACTTTCCTACTGGGATAGAAATAACATTGGAAGTATAAAGAGGCATTCCAGAAAGTCAGGGTGAGGGGCACAAAGTGGGTTATGGCATTATACCTAACTCAATAACCAAATGTGATAGAAAACAAAATAAATTCCCTTCCCCACTCTTTGGGAAGGGAAAGGGGGAGGGAAGGAGTTTGAGTAAGGTTAGAAAAGGTGGGCAGATGAAAGGAATCCAACTTGTCCTCAGTCAGTCAATATCTATTAAGCCTACTATGTGCCAGGCCCTGTGGTAAATGCTGGGGATACAAATAAAAGGCAAAACATAATTCTGACCCTTAAAGAGCTCACAGTCTAATGGCAGAGACAAAATGCAAACAACTGTATAGAAATAAGCTATGTACAGGATAAATGGGATATAATCCAAAGAGGGAAGGCACTAGAATTAAAATGTAAAGAGATGTTCTCGAGCAAAGAGAGGGCTAAAGGGTGAGATTCTGGAGGGAGGACACTTGTCATTAGGCCTATGCTGGGACAAGGCAGGCTCTAGGTCTTAGTAGAAATCAATAACGAAGTTCCAAGAAATAGCATCTGCTATCCCCACCCCCCCCAACTCTTTCTCCTAATCTCCCCTCCCTTCTAACCCTAATAGAATCTAATTCAAGTTTCCCTTCAAAGCCACAAGTAGGAGGCCTGGTCTGATTTCAGGTGCCTCCTACTCACTAATTCCTGAAATTCCTATATCAGGGACAAATCTTTCCATCCTACAATGAGAAACCAAAGACTTTGAATAATTCAACCATCAAGTGGCACTGCTATACACTAATCTGATACTATTCAACAAGAATAATAGGATATTGAGAGAATTCTACTCACAGTAGCAGTCATGCACTTGACTCCAAAAAACCAACTTTCGGGGGAAGTGCCCAGCTCTTGATGAGTAAATGACCTTCTGTCCCCCATCTCTGCCTCTCTCATATATGCTCTTTGGGATGAGGGAGGCAGGTAATCGCTAACTACAAAGCCCAAATAAGAAAAAACACACCAGTCAATTTGACTCATATTTCAATCTGGGATCTCCAAATATATAAAATTATGAAGTCTGTATAGATGCTTAAGTATTTTTTTGCTTGTGGAGAATACCCTGATCCTTCCCAGAAAAATAGACTGTGTGGGGGACTGCATTTAGCCAAAGGAATCCCATGGAACTTAGAAAGCCCACAAAGAGGATTCAAATCAATGGTTCTGACCATAATTTCTGTCTGAAGGATTAAGAAGAAATACACTTTCATGAAAGGCTGTATCATTTCCCCACTAAGTAGGCACTCAAAGTAGACACAACCCAACCTGGGATCCCATTTTACACAGGCAATTTCCTGGGTGGAATGATGAAGGGAAAGGGAGTGCTGTGAACCTCCAAAATTCAGGTTTCTGTTTTGATGCCCAGAAGTGGCCAGATTCAGTCAATCAACTATGTTTTCCTCATTTACTACAACAGCCCGGTGAAGAATATAACTACACTACCAGGTTCAGTTTTTCCATGACTTAAGGGGATTCACACTGGGCTTTACCAGATAAAGAAGAGAAACAATTAAGATATAACCAGAAAACCCAAGTCTTAGACTTCCCCTCCAAACAAAAAGATGATGTACACATTTAAAAGTTCAAAGTAATCAACTGCATTGAAATCTCCAGAATGGTAGGTCTTAGGATAATCATTCAGATTCTTAAATACTGGTGATTTTCTAAAATAACTAACTCCAAATGACTCTCCTTAAAGGGAAGCTCTGTTACCTGTACTAATGAGGCCAGAGAGAAGGAACAGCATTTCCTGCATTCAAGACCTTTCCCTCTAGCTTAGGAAGAAGTAACGTGAGGCATTAGTACTCAGCGGATCCAAGGCCACCTGAGACCACTGTTGTTGGCCCTCTACCATTAAAACCCTTTTTCTTGTCTTTATTTTTCCTTCTTCTCTTCCTTTGTCTTCCACTCTATCTTTTTCTTTCCCTTTTTTCTCCTTCTCCTCTTCCCTATGCCTATTTGTGGATCTCTCAATAGAATTCCAGACTCCTGCTCTTGCCATTAAGTCCTTTCTTTCTGGCCATTAAAATTTATTTCCCACTTAACCTCCATAAAAACTTCTTCCAAGTACCAAGCATTCTGAGTAAGGGGCCCAAAGAACCTGTACTTTATATTATCTGCTGTTAAGATGGTGGAGTTACTTGGAAAAGCCATAGCATCTACTTCTACAGCCCACCTTGGTATGAGAGAAATAAACGGAACTGAAGACTAAATGGAGATCACCTATTGGGAATGGACTAGAGTACTGGATGGCTGCCAGAATCCCTATTTCCTAGAACAGAATTGCCACTAATTGTAAAGTATTAATGATTTTTATAAGATAAATAATGGATGATTTTTTTATGTTATGCACTCAGGCTTATTCTGAATAAAACAAAATTCTGCATATTGAAAAAAGTTTCAGGATTATTAAGACGTGACAAATTCATTCATGCCAAAGACAGTTTATACAGCTGTTTCTCCAGGATGCTGATGTTCAGAAGTAGCTCTTTCTGCCCATTTTTCCTCCTCAAAACCGGAAAGGGTTTAATAACACATCTTGGGAAGCAAACAAAGAAAAGCTATGTCAGGCTATCAGAGCCCTACAAAGACAGCTGAATGACTGAGTGATCACATACTTCCCTGCTGTTTTGATAGGCAAGAGAGAGTTAGAAGAATAGGACGTCACTGGGACCTGAATGGGGGTGCAGAGGTGGGGGAGGTGGAGGTAGGAGAAGTTGTTGGTGAAATGGAGGAAGAAAATAAAAGAGCCCGGAGGCAAACTTAAGAAACTACACATTTGCCCAGCGTCCTTCCCCTGTTTATCTTTAAAAGAGTAAGGACAAATAGAAGCTGAGTTTATAATTATCTTTTTTTCATGTAGCTATGAAGACATACTGCTCTGCCTTGTGCAAGTTGGAGAAAGTAATTTTTTTTTTCTTTTAAAGTACAATGACTATTCTATAAAGCAGTGGTTCTCAAAGTGCAGTCTGGGAACCCTTTCAGGGTGTTGCAAGGTCAGAATTATTTTCATAATAATATCAAGACATTATTTGTCTTTTAAAATAGTCTTCCTTTTTCAAACTACTTATTTGCATTAAGCCAGATTTTCTTTACATTCTTCAAACAAAAAAACATATCATAACAGGTTGAATGGACAGGCAGATATGAGAATCTGTTTTATTTAGCCAGACATAAAAGATATTTGTAAAAATGTATAAAACAATGCTATTCTTTTCATTACATTTTTTTGTTTTGGAAACTACAGTGACTTTTCATTAGAAATGTTAGGTATAGTAGTATAGTAGGTTTATTATGTTATTTTAAAATTAATATATTTTTTAATTTAGCAATTTTAATTTCTAATATAGTAAATATCAATAGACATAACCCACATAAACAAAAGGTCTTTGGGGTCATCAATAGTTTTTAAGAACGTAAAGATGTCCTAAAACCAAAAAGTTTGAGAACTATCACTGTAAAAGAACCTCACCTCCACAGGATATCCTCCAGGTTAGAATTTTAAGATTGTCATTTTAAGGGGCAGCTAGAATACAGTGAATACAGCTCCAGCCTTAGAGTCAGGAGGACCTGAGTTCAAATGTGATCTCAGACACTTGACACTTACTAGCTGTGTGACCCTGGGCAAGTCACTTAACCCCAATTGCCTCACCAAAAAAAAAGAAAAAAAAAGATTGTCCTTTTAGATCTGTAAGGTTGAAGATGCAGAGTCACTGGCAGGATCAGTCAATAAACATTTATTAGTCACCTACTACGTGCCAGGCACTATGATAAGAGCTGAGGATACAAAAAGAGGCGAAAGACAGTCCCCTGCCTTCAAGGAGCTCACAGTTTAATGAGGGAGACAAAAAGCAAACAAATATGTACAAACAAGCTAGAGTCAGAATAAACAGGAAATAATTCAGAAAGAGAAGGCACCAGATATAAGAGATTGGGTAAGTATTCCTGTAAAAGGTGAGATTTTAGCTGGGATTTAAAGGAAGCCAGGGAAGTTGGTGGGTAGAGATGAGAAAGGAGAGCATTACAGTCACTGGGGGACAACCAGAGAAAATGCCCAGAGCCCAGGGACGGCATGTCTTGTTCGTGGAATAGCAAGAAGGCCAGTGTCACTGGACTGAAGAGTAGAAGTCAGAGAGTAAGGTACAAGAAGACCAGAAAGGTAGGAAAGGGTTAGGTTATGAAGGACTTTGAATGCAGGAGGATTTTGTATTAGATTCTGAAGGTGACAGGGAGCTGCTGGAGTTTACTGAGTAAGGGAGTGACATGATCAGATACGTGTTTTAGGAAAATCACTTTAGTGGCTGAATGAAGAACGGATTGGCATGGGGAGAGACTTGAGGCAGGCAGACCCACCAGCAGGCTATTTGTAGTCATCTAGGCATGAGGTGATGAGGGCTTGTACTAGAGCGTTGGCAATGTCAAAGGAGAGAAGGAGGCGTATTCAGGAGATGTTACAAGGTGAAATCTACAAGTTTTCCAACAAATTGGATATGGGCTGTGAGAGATGGTAAGGAATACAGAATGACTCTTAGGTTGTGAGCCTGAGGGACTCAGAGGTTAGTATTCCCCTCTACAGTAATAGGGAAGGTAGGAGCTAGAGGAGAGTTTAGGGGAAAGATAATTAGTTCAATTTTGGATATGCTGAATTTAAGATGTCTACTATCCAGTTTGAGATTTCTGAAAGGCAGTTGGTAATACAAAACTGGAGGTCAGCACAGAGGTTGGGGCAGGATAGGTAAATTTGAGAATCATCAGCTTAGAGACAGTGATTAAAACCAAGGAACCTGATGAAATCACCAACTGAAGTATATTAGGGGAGAAGAGAAGAGGGCCCAGGAGAGAACCCTGTGGAACACCTCTGGTTAGAAGGCATGATCTGGATGGGAACCAGCCCAAGAGACTGAGAAGGAGCCATCAGATAGGCAGGAGGAGAACCAAGAGAATGGCATTCTGAAAACGTAGAAAGAAGAGAGTATCAGGCAGGGAAGGGTGATCAACATTGTCAAGGCTTCAGAGGTCAAAAACTCTAGAGAGAAGAGAGCATCAGGCAGGAAAGGTCGAAGACTCTGGATGGATCATGCCTGAAAAGCCATATCTACCACGTACTAGGTAATGGCAAGGCAGAGAGGAATGCTGACCGGGTCAGAGCTAAACACAGCATATCACACTACTAGATAGTTAACATTTGTATATTATAAAATGAATATGGTGGTTGGGATTGAGGATCTAAAGACATTCATTATCATAACATCGTAACATGCTTGTTAGTTTGCATCGTGAAATGTTCTTTAGAATACCATTTCTCCTCTAATTTCCAACAGTTCCAAAGGAATTTCAATACTTGATGCATCTGATCTCATTTATTTGGGTACTCCCACTTATGATTCGAATTAGTAAACCATTCATGCCTGACCATCCTGGGGGATTCTCATCTACTTGTCCATGTCCTCTTGCAGATCTGTTAAAAGGAGTTCTAACCAATATACTTGTGACATTCCAATAGATCTTGTGCTCTCTTTTCTAAGGGAAGAGGAAGAAAACTAAGAAAATAGTATATGTATAAAAAAAGAATTTATTCTTGAAGAACATGGTTTCACAGTACAAGATGTCTTTCCCACAAACAGAAAGACAAAAACTAAAATCAATAATTCAGATTTGTTCAAATTTGAGAAAAAAATAGAAATTTCACTATTCTGACAACTCCTGTAAACCAGAGTTACTTGGTTTTTCATCCCTGGGACTTACCAGGAAAGGGAGTGGGTACAGAGCAGGCTCCTCAAACAGGGCAAGGGAAAGATCAAGAAAAATAAAGAAGTAAATGGCAACTCTCATAGCCCAGTGGTTGTAAAGACAGTAAAATCTGGAAGGGAAAGAAAATAAAGGATATTGTAAAAAAAAGCAAATCAAATTGTTACTAATACATTTATTTCTTTCCTTAACAGAAGGCTTGAATTTTTGGCAAAATACAACCCTTATAACCATGACCCTCTTTGTTTTTTCTTTTCTGCAGAATTAGAGGGAGAAAAAGCCACCAAGAGACTTTCCTTTGTACAAGAGTTAAAAAGTAAAATTAAGTTTGCCTTTTTTATAGCTAAAGTGAATCAGTATTGCCCCTTAATGAATCAAATCACCCCATATCTGCTCACAAGTAAATTTTAAAAATATATCATATGGTATTTTTCTTATTTTTGAGATTAGTTTGCTTCTCACATAAAAATATTATATTTATATTAACAATAAAATTAAATTTATATAATAATTAAGGATTGTCCAACATAATCTCATTTGATAATTACAATAACCATTTTACAGATAAGGAAACTGAAAGTGAGAAAGGTTAAGTAAGACCCAGGTCTTTCAGACCCCAAGTCCAAGGCTCTCTGCACTGTGCTACTTAACTAGTTTTGCTTGTGTTCATTCAGAAGGCACTTCAAAACCCAATGTGCCTTGTTAATAGCTACCCATAAAAGCTGAGCAAAGAGAAGATAAAGGAGGTTGGTTTTTTTTTATTATAATCCATTGTTGAATTAGAACCTGAGTTGCTAGAGGGAATTGCTAGACTGTTGTTTTTCATCTTTGTATGAAAAAAAAAACCTTTTATCTCTGTCATCATGTCCCCCAGTGACTTGCATATAGTAATAAATATTTGATGGATATAATTAATAAAGATTTGTTGGATTTATTTACCCTATTAACACATATTAACCAGAGAGTTCTGCGGATGTCACTGAACTTTAAAAAAAAAAGTCTGTCGACAGTCTTCACCTTTTGAGTTCCTATCCATCCTTTAAATCCCAACTCCAACACTAACTGCTCCATGAGGAAGGCCTGAACTCCCTAAGGAAAGAATCTTCCCTTTCAGAATTCCCCTAACACTTTATTGTGCACCTCTCTAGTGCAAGCCTTACCTTTCGATATTGCATCTTACAAGCATCTCTTTCCCTACCAGAACATGGAAAATGTCTTATCTAAACTTTCTGTTTCCCTCACACTGGTACAGTGCCCTAAGCATAGGGCTTGATTCAATTTTTGTTAAATTAAAGCTGAAAATAATATAGTGGTAAGTAATCATCAGAGACTAAAGCAAATTTTTAAAAAATCTACAACTGATCAATTTATTAAGTCTCTACTATGTTCTAAGGATTGGGCTAGGTTTTGAGAATACAAAAGTAAAACAGTATCTGCCCTCTAGAATCTTACATTCTATTAGAAGATTGTGATGTGTCCACAGTTAAGTAAACACAGGATATAAGATCCTCTAAAAAAATCCACAGTGGGGGCAGCTAGGTGGTGCAGTGAATAGAGCTCTGGCCTTGGAGTCAGAAGGACCTGAGTTCAAATCCAGCCTCAGACACTTAACACTTACTAGCTGTGTGACCTTGGGCAAGTCACTTAATCCCATTGCCTCACCCAAAAAAAAAGGCAAAAAAATAAAAAAATAAAAAAATCCACAGTGACTGGGGGGCAGGGCAACAACTAGAGGAATCAGGACAGGCCTACTGAAGGAAGTGGTTCCTGAACTAAGTTACAGGTTCCAAGAGATACAGGTGACGAGGAAGAGCATTCCATGTTTGGAGGCAGAAGTTGGAATGCAGTATGCAGGAAATGACAAATATAGAGTATATAAGAGGGGGTAATGTGTAATCAGCCTGGAAAGAAAGGCTGGGAAATAAACTGGAAACTAAGGAGGTACCCATCCATTAAGAAATAGCTAAATAAATTATGGTTTATAAATGTAATGAAATATTGTTGCACCATAAGCAATGATAAAATGGATGGTTTCAAAGAAACTGGGAAGACCTATGTGAATTGATCAGAACCAGGAGAACAATTATACAATGACAACATTATAAAGAAAAGCAACATTGAAAGACTCTGATTAATGCAATGACAAGTCACAGTTCCCCATCTCCAAACCAAGAAGTGAGGGATTCAAGATGCAGAATGAGACATACATTTTTGAACATGGCCAATGACATGGCTTTGCTGGACTATACATGTCTATTACAAGGACTTTCTATATATTTCTTTTTCTTTTTTATCGTGGTTCAGTGGAGGAGGAGGAGAGGTGAAAGGGGAAGAAAAGAAATGCTTGTTTCTTGAAAAACAATTAACTTTATTTTTTTAAAGATAGGTTGGAACCAGGTTACAAAAGACTTTTAATACCAAACTGAGTTGTTTGTATTTTAACTTAAAGTCATTCAGGAGCCACTGAAGCTTCTTAAGCAGCGTTCCATGGCCAGAAGTGATTTAAGTATATCACATTTTAAGTTTGACAGCTGTGCAGGATAGAATGAAGAGGGTGAGAGCCTGGATGTTGGGAGACCAATTAAGAAGGCTATTGAAACAGTCTGGACAAGGTGTGCCAAAGGCCTAGTTATATTATGGTGTGAGTAGAGAAAAGGGGACTGAAGTGGGAGATGTCGAGGAGGTAGAATCAACAAGACTTGGTAAATAATGTCTATTGAAGAGCTAAGTGAAAGTGAAGAGTCAAAATGACTTTTGGATTATGATCCTGGATTACTGGGAGAATGGTACTGCTCTTGACAGAAACAGGGAAATTAAGAGGAGGGACAGGATTAGGGGAAGAGATAATGAGTTCTATTTTGGACATACTAATTTGAGGTGCCTATGAGACATCCAGAATTACAAAGGACTTATGATAGAAAATGCTATCCATATCCAGATAAAGAACTGATAGACTCTGAATGCAGATCAAAGCATACTTTCCACTTACTTTTTCATTCTTATTATCAACTTATTTTTTCATGATTTTTTTTTCTTTTGGTCTACTTCTTCTTTCACAACTGAGACTAATATGTTTTACATAATTGCACACATATGACCTATATCAAATTGCTTACCATTTTAGGAAGAGGGGAGGGGAAGGAAAGAGGGAGAAAAATTTGGAACTCAAAATCATAAAAATGAATGCTAAAAATTGTTTTTACATATAATTGGGGAAAAATAGAATTCTATTAAAATAAATTTAATTTAAATTAAATTAATTTAAATTTAATTTAATAAAAAAAAAGAAAAACAAGTAGATTTAGAAAGAATCGTGGCTACTTTAACAGAGACTGGAGTAACAGAGAAAAGTGCAAGGGATTATATTAAGGAGTGAGGTGCAGTGAGGGAGAGACAGAGTTTACAAAGCATTTTCTTAGTAAAATATGAGAGAATGTTCTCAATGGAGACAGTGGAAGAAGTCTAAGAAGAGAATAACAAGTTCAAAATAGTTGCTGAGAGCCATAATAGTAATAATCAATAGGGAAGATTAAAGGACTATTACGCTGCAGTGAGGGACCCATTTGAGATTGAATAAAAACTTATATTGACTAGAACTCCCTGGAATAAAAACTAAAATCTAAATTAAACTAAAATAAACTAAATTAAGATAAAATAAAATAAAAACAACAAAATCTATTAGAAAATCGGTTTTCCCCTCTGTAGTTTCTTTAACTAGCCAAAAGAAAACTATCAACAGGAAGAAAGTTATAAAATCTCTTAAAATCAAATGCTCCATCCTTTTCCTATAGTATTTTTCCATCCATTCATTTAACATTTATTGTGTATCTACTATGTTTCAGACAATACTTTTCACAGAAAACTTTAAAACTATTACCTTGGATTTTGTGAATTTAAACACCCCATCTAATGTACTTCCCAAATAAAAACTTTCACAGGGGTCATGTGAAGTTTTGATTTATCTTAGGCATGTCAAATTCAGCAAGTCTAAAATGGAGCTCATATTTTACCTAAAACTCATTATCCCTTCAAATTTCCCTATTTCTGTCGAGAGTGAATACAAGAATGATGGTACCCAAGTTTGTAACTTTAGAGTCCTCTTTGATTCTTCCCCTTCTTCCATCTCCCAAAAACCAATCAGTTGCTAAATTTTGTTGATATTACCTCTGCAACATCACTCCAGCGTATTCCCCTTTGTCCATACAGCCTAATTCCAGGGCCTTACTCTCCTCTTACATGGATTATTACAACAGACTCCTAATTTGTCTCCTTGTTTCTAGTCTCTACCTTCTCCAATCCATCCTCCACACAACTGCCAAAAACAATATTCCTAAGACACAGCTCTGATTCTGTCACTTCCACAGTCAAAAACTCTTCTGTGGTTGGCTATTCTTGCCTTCAGGATAAAGTCCTCTACAGTAAGTAGGCTGAGCCAATACAACAAAAGTCAAAATGCTACCTAAACTAATTTACTTATTCAGTGATATACTAATTCATCTGGAGGAAATAAAAAAGTCATGAATCTCAAGGAAAATTGAGATCACTATTTACATATCACTCCTGACTTTCTCTACTATGCCCCAGAAATCTTTTCAGCCTATAAGCTTACTCCAGCCAGAGAATTCACTCTTTAGAAGCAGCTTTTCACTCTTTCAGTCCCTCTCTCTCAGATTAGATGGTTCCTCCAGAACCTCCAATGAAGGAGGGCACCCAGCAGCCATGTTTTCATTCCTCTCCAGGATGCATTCTGGACTTTTCTTTCTTTCCTTCTTTTTTTTTTAAAGGCAACTAGGGTTAAGTGACTTGCCCAAGATCACATAGCTAGTGCCTGTCTGAGGCTAGATTTGAAATCAGGTCCTCTTGACTTCAGGGCCAGTGCTCTCCCCATTCCACCACCTAGCGGCTCCCTGGACTTTCTTTACCATCCATCTCTTTACCTACCTCCACCTGCATTACCCCCAAACTCCTTTTCAATTTTCTTTTATGTGTTTCCTTTCCCCGTTAGAATACAGTCTCCGAGAGAGCACGGGGTTATCTTTCTTTCTGCTCTTATATATCAGCACTTACTATATTGCCTGGCACGTGGTAAACATTTAATAAATGCTTATTGATTAACTGACTGGAAATAATGAAACAAGTGGGTAGGAATCTCAAACTATACTACAAAACAGTAATCATCAATATAATTGGGTGCTGGTTAAAAAAACAGAGATGTCTACTAGTGGACAGATTAGGTAAACAACATACTACAGTAAATGAACCTAAGAGCCCAATGTTTGATAAACAAGAAGACCCCAACTACTGGGAGAAGGACTCACTATTTGACAAAACCTGCTGGGAAAACTGGAGCGAAGTCCAGCAGAAGTCAACTTTAGGCCAACACCTCACACTACATACCACGAAAAACTGCAAATGGATATATGACCCAGACATAAAAGGCTACATCATAAGCAAATCTGATGAACAAATCTGTGGACAGGAGAAGAGTTCATGATTCAGCAGGGGAAAGAGAGGATCATTTAATTACTTTTTATTACACTGACAATTTGTTTATATAAAATCAAAAAAAGTTTTGTAAAAATAAATCCAAACATAGACAAGATTAGAAGGGAAACATATAACTATAGTAAAAAAATCTTTGCCCCAAGTCTCTCTAAGATATATATATATATATATATATATATATATATATATATATATATATATATATATATATATACACATACATATATATGCATATGTATATATATGTGTGTATATATATGTGTGTATATATATGTGTGAGGAATTGATTTAAATTTATAAAAATAAGAGTCATTCCCCAATTGAAAAGTGGTCAAAGGGTATGAACAAGAAGTTCTTAAGGAAAGAAATTAAAACCATTGTTAGCCATATAAAAATGCTTCAGATTACTAATAATTAGGGAAATGCAGATTAAAGCAACTCTGAGGTTGCTTTATCCATCAGATTGGCAAAGTTGACAAAAAAGGAAAGCAAAAATATTGGAGGGGCTGTAGAAAGGCATATTAAGGCATCATTGATGGAGCTTGTGAATTGGTCCAACTATGCTGGAAAGAAACTTGGAACTATTCCCAAAAAGTTATTAACTGTACACAGTTTTTGACCCAGAAATACCACTACTAGGCTTATATCTGAAGAAGATCAGAAACAGAGAGAAAAGTCCTATAAATACAAAAATATTTATAGCAACTCTTTTGTGGTAACAAAGAATTGGAAACTAAGAGTATGCCCATCATTTGGGGAATGACTAAACAAATTACGGCTTGTGATTATGATAAATATGATTGTGTTATAAAAGAGACAGTTTCAGAGAAACCTGAAAAGACTTGAATGAAGAGGAAAAGAATTTATACTAAAATTTCAGCATGATAAAGATAAACAATTCTGAAAGTCTCAAAAATTCTGATCAAGGTCATTATCAATCATGATTCCAGAGGACTGGTGATAAAGAATGCTATCAGACTGGTGATAAAGAATGCTATCCAACTGGTGAATAGAGAGATGATGGATTGATATGAAGATTGAGATACACATTTTTGAGACCAATATAGGAATTTTCTTTGCTTGTCTATGTTTATTTGTTACAGGATTTTGTTTTCCTTTTTATTCCCCGGATTTGGATGGGAAGGAGAAAAAATAAAGGCTTGATAATTTTTTTTAAATGTTTAAGATAGAACCATACAAGACCTCAAGCTTTTTCTAGTTTGCATGGCTTGCTTAAGCTGAACATCCCTACTACTTATTTCTCCACATCTAATTTGGTGTTTAAGGAAAAGAATGTTTGTTAGTGACATGACCCAATTTGGATGGCCAAAGGCCAACCATTAGAAATTATTCTAATTGTGTGCCTTTCTAATTTATGGTGTACATACATATATATGTAAGAACACATTGTGATCTGGGCTTTTTAAAGAAAGTCTGATTAATGAATTAATGAATCAATCAATAAGCATTTATTAAGCATACACTATGTGCCAGGTACTATGCTAAGTGCTGGGGAGCTTACAATCTAATGGGGGAAATAACATGTAAACAAATACATATGAAGCAAGTTATGTGCAAGATAAACAGAAAATAATTAATAAAGGAGAGGCACTGGAATTAAGAAGAGTTAAGAAAGGCCTCCTATAGAAGGTGAGATTTTAGTTGGGACTTAAAGGAAGTCAGGGAGGTCAGTAGCTGAAGCAGAGGAATAGCATTCCAGGCTTGGGGGAGAGCCAGAGAAAATGCCTGGAACTGAGAGATGGAGTGTCTTGTTTAAGGAACAGCCATGAGGCCAGTGTCACTGGATCAAAGAGTACATTGTGGGGATTAAGGTATAAAAAGACATATGCAGTATCTTCTGAAAATATTTTTAAACCACATTCCAAGTGATAACTAAATTAGTAGATAGAGATAATTTTTATTTTTAAAAAAAAAAGAGGTTTTCCCTACTCTAATTTATTAAACATCATTCTATGCTAATAAGGTTCTGGTGCATTACAGAAAAACTGGAAAAAGAGGATAAAGCCCTTCATGAGCTCTCCAGATTTATTTCATATTATTCCCCATCAAGTACTCAACATTCCTGTCAAACAGAAATTATTCCCCAGACTCAATATCCCATCTTTTGCTTTCATGCCTTTGCATAGGCTATCTCTGAGGCCAGGAATGCTTATCTCTGCCGCTTAGAATCCCTGGCTTCCTTCAAGGCTTGGGTCTAGCCCGACTTCTTATGGGAGATCATTCCTGATCCTCCCAGTCGAAAGTTGGTAGCGCTCTCTTTCTTCAAATTATCTTGGATTTACTTATCTGTACACATCTATCTCCAGAGTAGACTCTCTAAATGCCTTCAAAAGAGAAAATGCTTCATTTTTGTTTTTGTATTCCCAAATGCCTAAATAGTGAGCACTTAATAAATGTTTGTTGAAATAAAATAAATGAAAATTCAAGAACACTATGAAAAGGAATGTTTTTTCAATACTATGTAGGCACATACAGATTCAGAGATAACATACACAACTCATTACCTGATAGCTTGAGGTGAGGTTTCAAATGGAATGTTTCTATTGTATTGGGCATCATACACGTAGGCAGCAGCCAACAAGAGGTCCTAAAGATTATGAAAGGGTATAAATGAGATTGTCTTAACACTGAAAATAGAGATCGCATTCCCTAGCTACTTGTTCCAGCACTGGTTACACTTTCATTCATACCCTGACTCCCTGGCAGAATACTCCTTGTTCCCCATTGCCATTTCTGGGCTCTCCCTGTACTACTATCCCTCAATAACTCCTCCTCCTTTGAGGGTCATTAAATCCACACTTTATTATCAAATCAAGACTATGATGGCTGTTGCCTCCATGATGCTCTTCTTTCTTCCTCAATGAGTTCAGTGCCTGGCTCAGTCTTTCTCTCCTCCTTAACTCCTGTTCTCATATTAAAGGACTTCAACACTCACATTGATATGCCCTCAAACACTCTAAATTCCCAGTTCCTCAACTTACTAATTTCCCATGACCCTAACTACACACAGAGATAGTAATATTCTTTTTTTTTTTTGGCTTTTAGGCAATTGGGGTTAAGTGACTTGACCAGGGTCACACAGCTAGTAAGTGTCAAGTGTTTGGTCTGAGGCCGGATTTGAACTCAGGTCCTCCTGACTTCAGGGCTGGCGCTCTATCCACTGCGCCACCTAGCTGCCCCTGAGATAGTAATATTCTTGATCTTGTCATCATTCACAAGTCTTCCCCATCCCATATTCATCAACTCTGAAATTCCTTTACCTCATCATAATCTCTTATCATTCTCACCTCTCCCTCTGCTTTGCAACTTCAAACCCTGTCCTTCATCCTCATCACAACCTCTAATCCCTCCATCCTTCAGTTCTTTTGCACACTATCACCTCTGCACTGTTTATACTTTATTTCCTTCCCCATCTTAACCCATTAGTGAACCAGTTCAATTCTCCACAATTCTCTCAAGTACCTTACCCTTTTATCCTATTAAAGATCTTGTCCTGTCAAACTCCAACTTTGAATTACTTCCTACCATCCACTGCCTTTGCTCTTGCTAATATGCTATTGAATGAAGCTAGAGAAAATCACGAAGCATGCTGACTGGATCTGCTAATTTATGTTATATCTCAACTGAGCCTTCACTGTAGCAAGTAATCTTTTTATACTTCCCTAACCAATTTGCTATCCTAACTCCCCACAGTGGCTTTTCCAAACCTTTTCATCCCTCCCCCAGCTCCCCACTCTCTGAGTTGAGAATCTTGCCTCATATTTCACTGAGAGCTCCTTCTTCACCCCTCTTCCTCATCTTACATCACTTACACCTTTTGCCACTATATTTCCCTTTCACCTATTTCACATAAAGAGGTAGGCCTGACCCTTGACAAGGCAAACCTTTCTTTGAGCCATCCATCCCCACTAGCTATCATCCTAAATCTCTCCTGTCTTTTGTGGCTAACCTCCTTGAAAAAGCCATCCATAGCAGATGCCTCTGTTTCCTTTTCTCTCACTCCTTTCTTAAAACTCTGCAGTCTGGCTTCTAACCTCATCATTCAACAGATACTGCTCTCTCCAAAGTTACTAACGAACTCAGTGGACAAATGGAATGGTCTTTTCTCAGTCTTCATCCTCCTTGACGGCTTGGCAGTCTTTGACACTGTTGATCATGCTCTTCTTGATGCTTCCTTCCCTCTAGGTTTTCATGAAACTGTTCTAGCCTGATTCTCCTCTACTTATTCTCTATCACCTTTGCTGGATCTTTGTCCAAGTCACACCTGCTGACTGTGGGTGTCCAGCAAGGCTCCATCCTAGAACGTCTTCTCTTCTCCTTTTGAACCATTTTACTTGGTGATCTCATCAGCCCCACGGATGTAATTATCATATCCATGCAGATGATTCTCAGATTATTTATTTAGTCTTAATTTCTCTCCTGAGCTCCAAGCTTGTATTTCTAATTGCTTATTGGACATCTCAAACAGAATTTCCTATACATATCTTAAACTGAACAGGCCCAGAACTGAATTATTTTCACATACACACACACACACACACCCAAACTTTCTCCTCTTCCTAATTTCCCTCTTATTGTCAAGGGTACCATCAATAATAAAACCTCATCTCAAATGCTAGGTAGTACATCTTTTTAAAATTTAAATATTTTAAATTAACAAACATTTCTTTTCTCTCCCTCTCCCCCTCCAAAAAAACCAAGAAAAACAAAGCCCCAGTAATAAATATGTACAACCAAGTGAAACAAGGGGAAATTCTATTCTGGAAGTGATTCTCACAAACAGGAGGGGATTGGTTGCTGGGATAGAAATGATAGGAACCTTGGCGGGAACTGGCCACTCTCTCCTAGATCTTGTAATAGAGAAGAACAAGAAATCAGGTTATAGGTGCTTGGATAACAAGCACTTAGGTTTGGGGAAAGCACATTTCAAAGGATTCAGAAGAAGGATAAGTAAGATTCCATGGAATAAAATCATAAAGGGCAAATAAGCTCAGTAGAGAAACTAAATTCTCAAGAATAAAATTTCAAAGATGACAAGGGAAACAATTCTAATTAGGAAAAATGGGAATTACCTAAGAGATCTATGTGGATACATAAGGAATTCACCAACCAACTTAGATTTTTTTTAAAAAGAATGTACAGATGCTAGCAAATTAAGGCAACAAAGAATCAGCACGAGGGCATGATGACACATTCCTGTAAAAAAATATTGTCATAGTAAGCTGAGACTGGCAAAGAAAATTAAAAACAACAACACAAAAAGATTCTTTAAAACTATAATGGGACCCAAAAAGAGAAACATTAGAGAAAGGTCTTCTGCTTAGAGTAAGTGCGAAGATAACTGACAACAGAAAGAAGTCTGAGCAATACCATTGCTATTTTGCTTATGTTCTCTCTGCCAAGGAGAATGACCTTTGCACTGGAAATAACAGAACAAAAATAATTAACAGAGACTTGATGCTCAAGATAAGTTAGAAGTTACTAAGAGCACCAAGATGCCCCTGATGAATTCAAGTAATCTGGGCTCGGGTAATCCATGCCCAGGTACTGAAATGACTGACAGACATGACTGCTGAGCTAAAGACTTCGATGTTTGAAAGATCACAGAGAATTAGAGAGGTACTACAAGACTAGAGAAAATCAATGTCTTGATTTTCCCTTCAAAAAAAGGAGAGAGAACAGAGTCTATTAACTATAGGCTAGAGCGCTTTACTTAGAGTGATCAGAAGATTTTAGAATGGATCATTAAAGAGATGGTTAGTGAACATTTAGAAAAGGGAAGTGGAGATTACAACAGAGTTTTAAGAATAGATCACACCAGGCTAACTTTAACTCCTTTTATGACAGGTTTACTAAACTGGCAGACAAAAAGAATTCAGCAGATGTAATTTACATGGATTTTAGCAAAGCAAGTGATAAAGTTTCTCAATTTTCTCTTGCTGTTCCTTGAACAAGATGCTCTATCTTCTGGCTCCACTCACTTTTCAGTGGCTGTTCCCCATGCCTGGAATTCTCTCCCTCTTCATCTCTGCCACCTGGCTTTCTTCAAGTCTCAGCTAGAACCCCACCTTCTACAAGAAGCTTGCCTTGGTCTTCCTTAATGCTAGTCCCTTCCCTCTGTTGATTATCTATAATTTATTCTGTATATATAATATTTGAACATAGTTGTTTGCATGTTGGGTCCTCCATTAGACTTCTTGAGATCATCCCATTCACATTGCAGTTATGATAACTGTGTATTTCCCTCCATCCCATTTTCCCTTTGTTTAGCAAGCTCCTTGAAAGCAGGGGTTGCATTTTGCTTTTCTTTGTATTCCCTGCACTTAGCACAAGGCATTTAATAGGTGCTTGGTAAATGCTTATTGACTGACTGACTTGTGGAGAAAATGGGGATGGGAACTGGATGATAAATAATCATATGGGTTCAAAATTTGTTTAATGTCTAGACTGAAAGAGTAGAATTAATGGCTCAATATCAGCTTGACAAGATGTACCATAAAGTGCACTGTGCTTTTTTTTTATTAGTTACTTAGATAAAGGCATAGATGACATACTCATCACATTTGCAGATAATACAAATTTGAGAGGCAGAACTAACACCAATGATAGCAGAATGAGAATCCAAAAGGATGACAGAGAGCATCATACTGAATCTAATAAGATAATTGAATACAATGAGGAAAATATAAATTCTTATATTTCAGTTTTTTATTACATATACAGGATAGAAGAGGCATAATAAGACCTCTGTTGGTCTAACAAAGATCTGGGGGTTTCAATGGACTGCAAACTCAACAGGATTCAGCAATACAATGCGGCAAGCTCATGTGATTGTGAGGGAGGTGGAGTAGCATAGCTTCCACAACACAGCCCATCAAGATTCTACCTGCAGTGGGCTTCATAGGGAGCATCATTTAAGAATGTTAACAATTTAAGGATGTTAACAAGCTGAAAAGTGTCCACAGGAGGGCAACTATGATGGTGACTGGCCTTGATTTCACATCCAAAGAAAAGCAATTGAAGGAACTAGACTCAGGCGGCCCATGATAGCTATCTTCAATATGAAGGGTCTCATGCGGAAGAGGGATTAGACTTTGTCTGTTTGGCTCCAGAGAACAGAACCAGAAACAATAGACAGGAATGACAAAAAAGCAAATTTGAGGTTGATGTCAGGAAAAACTTGCTAATAATTAGAGCTATCCCAAAAAGCATCTGGCTAACTCCTGAGGTGGTGAGTTCCTTATTAAGTGATTCTGTGACTAGCCTTTGAATCCCAAAAGCAGTTTCTAAGTGTTCAGAAAGCAATAACGATGCTACTCACACAAATAAAGCCATGACGACTCAAAGTGGATTTAGAAGCCACAGCAACATGGCAAGGACAGGGCTGTGCTGGAGCTGGCCCTTAGCAGCTACAAGAATGTTAAATTTTCAGTGTGAGCTTTTATATTCAGAAATCCAAAATTACTACAAATCATGGCTTGGTTTATTGTTTTGTTAATTGCCAAAACTTAAAAAACTGTTAATAATGCAGATTAAACTTAAAAGTATATACGCATATGTTTTGTTTTGAGGTTTTTTTTTCCCCAGGAGAGCACAGTTGTTAAACATTTTTACCAATACAACCCTGTATTGCTCAATAAACATTGCTTGAGCTCAGTAGGAGTGCAGGAGAAGGTTCAAGGAATGAAATCATCATCAGACTAGAGACCTGGTGAATATAGGCTAATAATAATAATAATAATAATAACTGGCATGCATTATGCCATTTGAGCTTCACAACATCCATGTCAATCAGCTATTATAGACATTACTATCCCCATTTTATAGATCTGGAAACTGAGGCTGCTCAAAGAATTAATAGCTAATGAGTACTGGAGATAGTATTTTAGTACAGGCTTTCTTTATTTCAAGTCTAGCAGTTCATCCACTAAGCCATACTGTCTTTTGCTGTGATTTTTTTAATGGCTATAAGGTTAACACAAGAAGATGGAGGATGGGAAGGCAGTTCATGTAGCAGGACCCTGACAAAGGCAGAAGAGCACTGGACATGTTTGAGGAATAGTGAATAATCCAATTTGGCTAGAACAATGTGGACGATAAAAGAAAATGATAAAGTATGTATCTGTGGAATTAGAGACTGGGAAAGTATACAAGGTGCTAATTATATAGTCACTACATAGATATAAAAATCTGAAAACAAAAATAAATTTGAACTTTCTGAGCTTGGTATGGAAAATAAAGCTTAGAAGGATCAAATGATTTGCTGGAGGTCACACAAATAATAATAATGATGATAGCTAGCATTTATATAGCACTTTATATAACACCCTTTATGTGTGTTACTTCATTTGATCCTCTTAGCAACCCTGGGAGGCAGGTGCTATTATCATCATTTACAGATGAGGAAACTGAGGCAGACTGAGCTTAAGTGACTCACCCAGGGTCACGAAGCTAATTATGTGTCTGAGGCAGGATGTGAATTAAAGTCCTTCTGAGTCCAGTCCAGTACTCTATACGCTGTTCCACCTACCTACTACAATAATTGGTGTTCAAAAAGCATTTGTTGATATGAGTGAATTTTTTTCTCACTCCTTGTAAAATCATGCAAATCTAACATTAAAGTGAACAGATTACAGCTGCTCTAGGTCAGAGTCTGTGCAGGAGAAGGTACTTGTCTACAGACTGCCCCTACACCAGCTTCTTTAATGACTTAATTAGTAACTTTCCAGATTCAAGCCCACTGTTATTTAGTTAAAAAAAAAAAAGGAACTTCCTAAAGATAGAATCAGCTGATGTTTAGGTGCAGATGACTGTTTTCCACCAATGCCACTGAAAAACATCGGGAGGATAGGGAGAGAAGGAAACAAAGGTCAGATTGGAGATGAAAGTTACTGAAATTTATGATTTGCCAGCACTGTCTTCAGCCTTCTCAGCGTTTCTGGCTCTGAAGGTTCTGAAACACTCCCCTTGCTTATTACATGTTACAGCAGCTATACTCTGTGACTTTCTGCCAAAGAATTTTTTTAAAATCTTAGTTAAAAATACTTTAAGATAATTTTAAATATTTGGCATCACAGTATTTTAGACTCTTGAAGATCATTTAATCTAACCTCTCTCATTTTACAGAGGAAGAAACTGAGGGTTCAGAGAAATAAAATCCCTTGCATAAAGTCATATAGCTAGAAAGTGACATGCCTCGGACAAGAAACTAAGTCTTCTCACTTCCTATTGAGCATTCTTCCCACTAGATCACACTACCAATCTTTGCTAACTTTTCCTATACTCTTCCTCTGGAAATAACTACAGTCATTCCCTCCCCCCAATCCAAGAAGAATTACCCCATCCAAGCTGACCAACAAACATGGCAGAACATGACGCAGGTGTGAACTGTTCAGATCACTTTTTTTTAACTTGCTTCAGAAGCCAAATAGAAGCCAAATATATCAGGGATGTCTAGATTCGGAGATGGCAGATAGACCTCTCAGTAGTTGGAGCTTGGAAGACTGGAAACTGAGAAAGTAGCAGTGTGATATAGTGGACAAAACACCAGCTTGGAAATCAGGGGCACCCCCTTCCCTGAATTCACATCCTCTGGCTTAGTGACCTTAAGCAAGCTAATTCATGCTTCTATCCCTCTGTCTCCTCATCTGTAAAATGAAGGGGTTAGACTAGTTGATAAGGTCCCTTTCAGCTCCTAATCTATAATACTGTTTTACTTCTCTCCAAGGGCTGGGACTAGAGTCAAGAAGACAAGTTCAAATCCAGCATGGGACACTTAACTAGCTGTATGACCCTGGGCAAGTCACTTGACCTTTGTTTGCCTTAATTCACTGGAGAAGGAAATGGCAAACCACTCCAGAAAAAAAAAAGTCAAGAAAACTTCATGGACAATATGATTTGCAGGGTCACAAAGAGTTGAGCACAACTGAACAACGGACAAATGAAATGGCTGTTTGGAAGCTGTGAATCTTGGGGGGAGGAGAGATAGCACAAAAACATCCAAAGAGAACAGGAAATGGCCCAATCTAGAGGCCACATCTTAGGAAGTCCCCTCTTCCCCCACCTCCTCCAGTTTTCCCTTAAATAGGAGAGAAAAAGTGGGACAAACTTTGGGTTTGGTTCCTCGGGTCAATATAAGGCTACAAGTGTAAACTAAGATCCCTCCTCTAGATGGAGGGGATTAGTGCACACACAGAGTTTTCTTTGCAATCATAATCTATAAACTACTCCTGGATTTAGCTTCAATCTTAGCCATGGTGCTCTGTTGTTTCCCCGTCTGGTTTTGATACTCACAGAGGAGTCCAGGAAGCAGTGATGTGGATTCACTGCAGTGACAGAGGCTAACAGAAAGCGAGCAGGGGTGACAACCCAAAGCTGAGAAAGGGTAAACATTCCCAGAACAATCCACGTGTAGGCTGGGTTCTCAATTTACAGCATGGGCTTCCAAGCCATTCTCCCTAATTCTAAACAGCAGGGCTCCACCTGCAACTAATGAAAGCATGCTTAAAAGGTAGAGGGTGAGATGATTGGAAGAAGATCGGAAATGGCACAGAAATAGGGGAAGCATTTAACTTTGTCAAAAGAACTTTTCCCTGAGTTCAGAGGATTTGGAGCTGAATGGAACCCGAAAAGAACAATTTGTCTAATGCCTGATTTTACTTGTAGGGAAACTGAGTCCCATAAAGAAGAAGCCATTTGTCTGAAGTCCTACAGGTAGTAAGAGAGGTGAGCCAAGTTGTATTAACCCATGCTGAATGTTGGATTCCCTAGTGTAGCGGTGAATAATACCGACTTAGGTTCACCGTTAACTTAGAAGTTTGTTTCTCCTTCCTTTCAATCCCTCCCAAATAGAGTCCCAATTAACTCCAAGCTCTAGATGCATCTAATCACTGTTTTGAATTTATACTAAACCTTTTTTGAAGAATGAAGGATCAAAACACAGTAGAGTCCAGCTGCCCTACATAAACCATTAGAAACACGTTGCTTGCGATCTGAATAGGAAATTAAAAAAAGAAAAAGAAATACAGTCCATCTGAGGAAAGAACTAGGGAAAAGGGGTAGAGATCCAAGCTTGTGAACAAGTAGTGGGGTACACAGGATTCTAAACCCCTTTGCTTCTTCAGCAGGATCTTTTTAAAGAGAGAAGGGCGTAAGATTATTGGAACTGTGAGAGAACCGCATAACAACCTGTTTCTCTACTTAAGTTGGGTATGGAAGGAAGGGAGGGGGTACCGGGGACACGCAAGGGACCTCCAGTCCGTAGGTTAGTATAAACCGGGGCGCCCTCCAGAGCCGCGTCTTCCCACCGCGCGTCTCCCCCTACCCCACTCCGTTCCCAGCCTCGCCTTTACCTCTTCTGTGGGCTGCTCTGGCTCCGGGCTAATCTTGACTGAGTGACCCTCCCTGGCTAGGGGGGCCTCGTTACTCGCTTCCAATTCTTCTGTGGTGCCAGGCATCTTAAGAAATTTCGTGCTTCAGCCAGACCGAAGTGGACACCTCCGGCCACTGAGGCGACAGCCTGACTTGAGTCTGGGGAAGTAAAGAAAGTGCAGGAAACTGGACAGTGGCCCAAGGTGCTTGCAGCTAACGGAGGCTGTTGGAAGGTGCTCCAGGGCTCATTGCCTGGGCTCGGCTGAGAGGGCATATCCCTCTCTGCAGCCTGGGAACACTGACTCCGCTGGAAAACTGAGGGGCGGCTAGCGCGGGCTGAGAACAGGAGATTTAATGGCTGTTTCACGTGACTCGAGAAGCCGAGGGAATTATTCAGCCGAAATCCTTGAAAGGGAGTGGAAATTCCAGCAGTTCCAGATGCGTGTGGACAGACCTACAGACTTACCCTCCCCTAAAACAGGTCTCCTCCCTCGGCTCCCCAGCTGTGGCCTCTTTCCTTCCCTAGTCCTGACCCAGGCTGGACCAGAGTCTAAGACCTCTTGAAGAGGAAGGGGTCGTATGAAGTCTGAGCAGGGAGGGAGCCCACCCAAGTGGGGTGCTGGGAACTAGTGGCTGGAGGCTGACCAACACGACCTATTCTGGGAGCCACTTCGGGTTGCCATCCCTCGGAAAGGTCTTCTGAACAGCTGCTTGCTTTGGCTTTAACCGAAACAGGCTGGTGAAACCGTCCCTAAGCCTAAAGAGGGGCCCAAAGAGACTCCAGGAGGACTGGGGTCTCAGAGACGGTACTTGCCACCTGCCTATCCTGGGCAAAGTTCGTTCTCTTTGGAGTTCTCTGGGACGTGGGGAATGGACAACGAAAAGGAGTTCACAACGAACATGGAAAACTGGGGAGCTTTCCATATGGCATTTGGAAATGCTAAAGAGCAGTGCTTGGTCTGGTAGCCTGGCACACCTGTTGTTACTGGCACTATGGACGCCTCTTCTGTGCCTGGGGCTCTGGGGACTTTTTAAACCTTCAGACAAAAACAACAACAACAAAATCATATATTCCAGCTTTATTATCAATGATCCAGGTTGATTAAGTAAGACTTTGAAAAAACAATAACCATTCCTCCCCCAAAGCCGAGCCACCTCAGAGTCATAGGCCTCTGAGTGTCACATAGGTGACCGGGGGTTCTCCCAGACCAGGTCAGCTCTCAGGTGATGGACTATTTGGCCCCATCAAGTCTTAAAATATTCTGCCAAGGGTTGGAGATGGCTATCAGAGTAGACTGGAAGCTATGAAAATGCAGGTTTTTCAAAGCATCCGAGGCAGCACAGCAACCATAGCAGCTCACGTAGGTAGAGCACTTTAAGAGTTTGCAAAATGCCTTATATTTAATTTGTTGTTCAGTCGCATCCTACTCTTTGTGACCATATTTGCATTGCCATTTCCTTCTCCAGCTCCTTTTACAGATGAGGAAACTGAGGCAAACAGGGTTAAGTGACTTGTCCAGCTAATAAGTGTCTAAAGTCAACTCTGAACTAAAGATGAGTCTTCCTGATTCCAAGCCCAGTGCTCTATCCACTGTACCACCTAGCTGCCCACTTAATGCAATTGTCTTCAAAAATTGACTTGAGAGTGGGATTTGTGCTGCTTTGGTCAAGCATATTTCAAGCTCCTTTAGCTGAAATTAGATTGCTTGTATTAAATTATTGGTAATAGTAATATATGTAAGAAAGCATCATAGTGTAATGGCTTGTCTTGGAGTTGAGGAGATCTGCCTCTGACATGTAGCAGCAGACCACAAGCAGCTTCTCAGCGTTCCAGGCAACCCTCTAAGACTATGAGTTAGAAAGCTATAGAAGTGGAAGGGGCTTTCACACTGGGACTTTTCCACAACAGGAGATTGCCACACCAATGAAATCAGAGGGTTAGGCCAAATACATATGTGTATGCAAAATACTGGTTTCTGCAAAACTTGGTCAGAAAAGCCCCTGCTACATAATATGTACTATGAAAGACCTGTTCTCTAGAAGTCTGAAGCCTATTCTAGTATTTAGAAAAAGAAATAAAATCTTCTAATATAAACCAGAATTAAGATGTTTTCCTTTCTTAGAGGTCTAGGATATGTTTGACATAATAGATATTAAGTACTTGTTCAATTAAAGTGAATTTACATGGCCAGTTCTAAAAATGGAAGAAAAAAGTCTGCCTAGGGGAGCACTAGAATCAAATGGGCAACAAGGAGAGGGAAAGAGTGATGGTACAGGGAGGAAGGCACTGCAAAGAAAGTCGGCATATCGGGAAGGACAGGTAGAGTTGTAGGAGGAAGGCGAAGGAGGAAGGTTACAGTATCAAATACGAAACCAAGACAAGACTGGAGAGATTCCTGGTAGCAGCCAGGGCTCTTAGCCTGCTTCTGTTACAGAGAGCTGCTCTCCTTACCTTAGGTAAATAGTCCTATGTTGGATAAAGTGCATACATAACTGAATTACTCTGATTTTTAAATGTTGTCTTATTTCATTACAAAGGGCTGGGCTTGGCTAGTTTAATTTCAAATTACAGCATCAAAGTATATTTTAAGAGTTTGATGAATCCATGTCCTCATTGGGTGTGGATTCTTCTTCAGCTCACCAGATCACAACCTTGCCATATTTTTTCAACCTATGTGATTCTTAATCATATTTTTTCATTATTCCTTCATAGGTGGGTCTTTGTAGTCAAGAAAAAAGTCATCACATTAGGGCCAAAATTCTGGCAACAAATCTCTCCTCAAGTAGCTAGACTGGTCAGTCCTCAGAGAACATACAGAGTTTACACCTGGAGTGGTATTTGAAGCTTTTCCAGTTTATTAGAATCTACCAGGGCTTTTGCTCCACTGGCCTAGCCACTAAGAACTCCTTCACACCTTAACAAGGTGTCAGAGTAAGATTTCTGAGGAGGTACAAAGGATTATGGGATTTAAAAAGAAAAATTAGGCAGGGTGTATGTCATACTGTCCCATCTGAAGTGTTGGGAGTGCTCTTCAGAATTTCCTGTTACCTAGTGTCAGCCATGGAAGGGAGGAAGGGAGATTGCTTTATGCTGCACATTCCAATTTTCTCCTATAATGTGATCCTCATTTCCCCAATGGAAAATCCAGAGTACAATATAGAATCTTTATGCTGACAGAGTAGATCACAACTTGTTTTTTCCTGTACTCAGAAAGAGGATAGCTGCCTACACTTTACTTTTGCGTTGTTGCATATGGCTTGTATTAAACCATATGGCATTCCAGCAAAGGAATGCAGCTGTCTGCAGTTCTTTGCTTTATAAATAAGAATGAAGCATTCAGACACAACACTGGAGCACAGAATCTGAAGGAAGAGTTCAAATGTCTTTAAATTATCAGATTCTAGTTCAATTTAGTTTAAGATTTTTTATGTTCTTTAGTTTGGACTTTTAAAAAAGGCTATTTTCTCAAAATAACTCCCCTTTTCATTCTCACTTGACTTTTAACCTTACTAGGGTGGGGCAACTGAGGCTTTGTCCAGGAAACTGAAATTTAAAGGGCACTGACATCACTTGTATTCCTTCAGCAGGCAGGAAAAAACAAACCAAACAAACAAAAAACAAAACAGGATTAGCACCAACCAAGTTATCAACTTTCCCATTACCAACCTCTTAGCAGCCTGAGGCCCTTTCTCCCCACCACAGGACCAGCTCCCTATCTCTACTGAATTTTTCTCTAAAAATCAATTCAAGAGTGCTTTGTTGCTTGTTCTTGCTCCAGAAGTTAAAATTGCTCATTATACTTATGGTTACAAATCCACCACTCTTGCACAAATTCACAGCATCATTCAATGTCCAAGTTGAAGGAGTAAGACTTCGCAAACACAGAAACTGTGATATGGAGTTATTCGGGGTTCGATCAACAAAAAGTATCCTTGGTGCAACTACATGGCGCAGTGGAAAGAGCATCGGCCCTGGATTCAAGAGGACCTGAGCTCAAATCCAGCCTCAGACATATAACACTTACTAGCTCTGTGACCCTGGGCAAGTCACTTAACCCCACTGCCTAGCCAAAACCAAAACAAAACAAAAAGTATTCTTGCTGGTCTACAATTTTTCTATAGCAGCACAACTGAAATCAAGTATATTTCTAAATCTCTGGGCCTCTATTGTTGCATTTTTTTTTACGCAAATGGGAAAAAGGTGGTGACAATATGGGGTTCTAAATTGCACCAATTCAATATGCGTTTTTTAAAGAACTACTGTGTGCAAGGCACACATTTGTTAAACATTAAAGCAGCGAAGGAGAGGCTGTGAATAGAAAGCCCAAACTCAGGTTATTTAGTATTTTGAGGGCGAGTCAGGCTTGAAGGTGGTTGTTTTGGCTCTTTGTCAGAACTGTTTCCAGGAATTTTGCTAGATATGGGGTCTCAGTTAAAGCCAGTGTCCCCAGCTGGGTGAGTTGCCAACCGACTTGGGGCCAACCAATAAAGTTACTCCCTCCCCTTTGATGATTCAGTACAAGAACAGGGTTCCAACATGTCCACAGCTACCCTAGAAATGTTGGAACAATAGCATTTTCCAATAAAGTCCTACCTCCAGCCCCTCTCTGAGGAGAATATCTTATACCAAATATAAGAAGGGGGTTGAGGAAAACAGTTTAGCAAAACTAATCCTGTGGCAGTGTTCCACACTCATAAACTCCCACCTTTGCAAAGAAAAGGAGGTGCAATTTTACATCTCTTTTTTTGAGTCTGAGCTTGCTCATTATAATTATACTGTATTCATTTTTTTCTATTTAAATTATGATCACAACTGTGTATCCTGTTTTCCTGGTTTTGTGTACTTCATATGCATATATAAGGCTTTCCATATTTTTTGTATTCATCATTTCTAATGACAGCAATATTTTATCATGTTCAAGTAGCACAATGTATTAGATATTTCAAAATGAATGGATATTCCCCAATGACTGGACATCTACTTTGTTTCTTATTCTTTGCTGTTATAACTATTTTTGTGTTTACAATTCCTTTCTATCTTTGACCTCATTAGCATATAGACATAGCAGTGGGATTTACAGGTAGAAATGATGGGCATCCTAGCCATTTTCTTAGCATTGCTTTCCAGGTAGCCCTACTTTTAGGCAATGTTTAGTAAGCAAAGCATCCTCCTAGATACCATGGGGGATAAATGGATAATGCGGCAGCTAGGTGACAACAGTAGTTAGAGTATGGGGCCTGGAGTCAAGAATGATCCTCTTCATTAGTTCAAATCCAGCCTCAGATACTTACTAGCTGTGTGATCCTGGGCAAATCACTTAACTCTGTTTGCCTCAGTTTCCTCATCTGTAAAAGGAGCTGGAGAAGGAAATAACAAACTACTCCAATGTCTCTGCCAAGAAAATCCCAAATGGGGTCATGAAGTCAGACATGACTGTAAAAAACTGAACACATAGATGGATAAGATGTGGATCCTACCTTCAAAAACCATGTAACCTAACAGTGTACAAAATAAACAAAAATGGAAATGTAAGAAAAAAAGGGGAGAAAGAAGCATATAAACATATACGTAATTATTAAAGGAAAGGGTACTGGATATGGAGACAGGAGACCTGGATTAAAATTTCATCTCTGCCACTTACTAGCTTTAAGACCTTAGATCTTAACATTTCTGCATCAACTCCTCACCTGTAAAATGGGGGCAATAATACTTGCATTACCCACCTTACAGGGTCATTTAGCACTTTGT